TAGGCTTCTGCTGTCTAGGCTGCCTGATATTATTCTCCCACTCCCCCCAAATAACCTGCCTGTATGGGTTCATGGTGATTGTGTCCTGGCATTGAATAAATTGGATACCAACTAGGCCTTGGGGCTGGTTACTGCAGTTGATAAATTGACACTACAAGGGTGTTCAATTGGAATAGAAAGTATGCAAGCTCTTCTCCAATGTCACTTTATTTTAACTAGGATCTATCTATGAAGCAGGAAGTATTGCTGAGGCAGTAAGTTTTGGGGGGTTTCTAAAGAAAACCTCTATTGAAGGAGAGGTCTACGGAATTACAGCAGCATATTGTCTACTAGGTGGACTCATAGGCATGCCAGTTTGTTGCCTCTCAACACTTGAGGTTATAAGTTGTCTCAAAAGTCTGTTAAGATATACCACCCTTGGTGAATTGCACCACTGTGTACACATCACACCCATTAAGGTGGCCAAAGCTCACCTGATACTAGATAGATTCTAGTTCTATGATTGTGAAGCTGGGGTGAAATTTTATGATTCCAGGAATGAAATGGAGCCAAAGACTGGCCTCCTCAGTAGGGCAAACCTCAGAAGTCTAGTCAGCTCACACTTTGGATCCCACAGCAATCTCTTACACTGGTATGACCAGTAGCTTAGACACAAACACCTTCCTCATTTCTCTGCCAGGGTGTCATAGCTTACAAGGCTGGATTACTCCATTTTTACTTGTAATTAGAATAGGTATGCTCTTACTCCTTCCTCTCCATAGCCTATATTTAGAATATTACTAATGTTTCAGAAATCATTCAGATATGGAGAAAATGCCTACCAAGGAAACTATATTTCCAATCTTGGGAATTTATATTCTGGGTTAAACGTTCAACAAATAGGAAGATTAACTGGAATAATTCATGGGGAAGTCAATAGAGCTATGCTCTTACACTGGAACAACGGTGTGCCTACACATGAAATCGCAATTATTGTGCCAGCTTCCGGGAGCTGTGTGTTTGGTGTTGAGGATGGCAAATACAAAGCCGCTGGGTTATTGATTGGGAAGGCAGTAGAAGCCAATATTGCTTTTGTGACTCCCTTGCACTTGATTTTGCAAATGGTGGGGGATTACTATTGGGTGTAAGTACACCAAGTCTGTTTTAGCTAGTGGTGGAAGGTGGAGAACGTGAAATATCAATTATCCCGCTGGGGTTATTGCATATCATGCACTACTACTTCCTTCTTGCCTCTTGAAGCCGAGTGATATGCTGCTGCCACTGCTCTCTATTCCCTCCTGCCCCGCTCTCTGACCTGATTCATTCAAATTGACCCTCCAGAGCGCGCAATACATGGAGCCAGAGTTGGTGCGCTCATGGCGGATGCAACCCAATATCCATAATCTCCAGAGTACAAAGTACGAGCAAAAACCTCCCCTGCCCCTTACCCTGGTCCCCATTCATACTCCGTGACCGAACCCATCTAAGTTACCGTACAATCAGATCCTGGAATCACACCAAAGTCAAGCCGGTCCTTTGGAATTCCGACTTCACTTTTATCGGTCAATCCCTATCCCTTGGTCAATGTTAACTTTGAACTAACCCAGGTAGAAAAGTAGGCGTTGGGGTGAGTATTAATTCATTGTCGCGTTTACCTAATCTGAGCAGTGAGCACTAATGTAGAGTGGATAACAGACCATAGGATGAACTCAATCGTTGTAGCGTCTATGCAATCTAGGCGCTAACCCAGAGTAGATGAGAAACCACTGGGCGAGTATATTAGACCACTATACTACCAAAGACAAATATATTGGGTTTACGCAATATCAGATCCATGAACCCCTCATCCTTGGCCCCAAATTTGGCCCTAAGAATCCAAGTTTTACATTGACAAGAAGATGAAAGTGCAGGATTTTTCGGCAAACATATTTTAGCCGACAATTCATTCATTTTCCAAAATGCTAAAGGAAATCACCAAGACATGAAAACCCAGGTCGCGCGACAATCATGGTAAAAATCATAACCAAGCGGTAATGACTGAAATGGCTAATATCATACCTTCCGGCGCGCTGCAGTGGGGTGGGAAACGCAACTTGAAAAAAAAAAAAATGATATTCCTATTCACTAACATCACTTCTTCCTCCATCATCTATCATAAATATTTCCGGCCCGAGAACAAAACATCTCACTTTGGCTCAGTCCTCCCCATGCCCGGCTTTAAATGGGGTATTTGTAAAATGCTTGGCTAATAGTGTCCTCTTTCAAGCTGCAGCGGGAGCATATGTGCTCTTCATATTTGCTTCCCCGATCTGCCTGTCCAGCAAGATATCTTTTGTCTCATGATACCTCGTGGCTTACCCCCACCCCAACACGGTACCTCGCTTGCTCCCGTCATCGTGGGATTCTACGGCACTGCCACCGGACACATTCCTTTGCCTGCCACAAATTCCGTTAGCACCCATCTTGTCTCTTTGCTTGCCTCCAAGTACGTCCCGCCTGCAGGAGTGGTTCAATGTTTGTAACACTATAAGAGGCCAGTACCGGAGTAAATCCCACCTCCAACACAGTCTTATAATGCTCGTTGATTTCCTCAGCTTTAACTATGGGTGGTTTCACAAAGTCTCACTCGCAGGTAATCGTGCTAACAACTCTACTAATTTAGTCTGGGTTATTCTTTCTGAGATCAGGTATATTTCGAGTTTCTTCACAGTCGCTCTATTCCCTTTATTAATCTCTCATCTCCCTTCTATTGTCCCCCAAATTCAGAAAAATTCTCCTCCTTCAGTCTCCCCCTTACCCCCCCCCTTTCATCTCCCTCTCTCTAACTGCGGCCAACCCCCACCCCTCCGACCCACCAACTCCTTCTCTCACCGAACTCAGACCCTCCTTTGCCTCTCTGGCTAACCACACTCCCCTCCTCAAGCAAAACATCCTGTCGGAAACCTCCATCTCCATCCACCTAGCCCTCACTATAACCCCCCCCCCCCACCTCCTGTGCTGAAATCAAAACCAGCAGCATTATCACCGACACCATCTTCTACTCTTCCCACAACTTTCGCACCTCGGCACGCCCGAGCGTTCGAAAACTACTCTTCGCGGACCATTATTTATACCCCCCTTCACGAAGGCCATATTTGAGAGTTACGACGGTGCAGAGGAGTTCATATAGGGCACCACGTCTGAGGAGTACCTTTCTCGGTTGCAGAAGAGGTGTTACGTTGCGTGCTTCATATATTGGTGCTTCTCCGAGATCCAGAAAGATGAGAAGCACTAGGAGAAGGGGAAGAAGAGGGTGCATTATGGCATGGAGGACACTAAGGGGAATATTATTCTCCTGTATTTCTGGAGGATACTGGATTGTCTTGAGAACTGGAGCGTTTCGGTTTCTGCATCTCTGAAGGAACCACAGGGTGGGTTTAAACTCACTGCCGATAAGTACTTTGGTTTGTGCGTGGACCTTGTAGAAGGGTTTAAAAGCATACCGTTTTATCCAATGACGAGCGCGAAGACTAGAGTGAGGTTGTGGGATTCTTTATAGAGATATCTTTAGCGAGGTTGGTTGGAGGTGGTCGGGGCCGGGGTGGGTTCTGGGCGTTTCTGGGCGTGGGGTGCGTTGTGATCTACTCGGTTATGCTCGTGCCCATCACTCTCTATTCAACAATCCATCTCAAGCGAACGAGAAAACAATTACCCACATAACAGGGCTTCGATCCCTAGTATTGTTTAGCATAGCACAGTAGGGCTCGCCTTATCTCGGAGAGAATTTATGAACCAACATCTGCACTAATTCCACTTGCCATATGGAATACTATGGTGCCCTTCTTACATACCGCTGGGCAGCCTACCCTTCCTTCAGGCGCGATTCTTCATGGCTTAAAACGGGTAAATAGCTCAAACTCCATTCTCTCTGCTGGTTTCGCACCCCTCATGATTTCACCAATCATGTCTGAGCCAGGCGGGAAATCGGTCTCAAAACAAGCTTCTCCAGCCCCCCTCATATTAACGAGCACTGCCTGACGGAAGTGCCAGCGCAGAACCTGGTCGGCGGGCCGGTGTGGGTTGTCGAGGAACATCTGGTCAAGATGACGACCGGCAATGTTAAAGTCCAGGGTATCAGGTGTGAAGCACACAATCTTATAGTTGTCCTACATAATTATTAGCTACGATGACGATAGATAGATCTAGCCACCCATACATCGGGGTTAATCGTCAATGAATAGGAATCAAACAAATAGCGTATATCGTTTCCAAGCAAGATCCCGTTCTGTATGGAGTTGATGGTTCCGTCAGACTCATCGGCGGGAGGAACAGTGATCCAACGACTGTATTCACAATCATTCCAGTACTCCTCGTATGCCAAAGGAAATATATGAGTGGCTTCAAAGGTGCCCCAGTTGCCAAGGTGCGCTAGCCGTGCTGGTCTGCCGGTGATGACGCATCGCCGATCTCGCTGACGGACAGCATCGGAGAATGATGTAACTCGTGTTCCGGACGGTAACGAAGGCATACGGGTTAGCGCGACTTCGTCAGTGACAGTGATGAAACCTATACAGAGTAAGTGGTGGCTAAGTTAGTGATGAGAGGACAGAAGAAAGCTACTGTACCGGTAGTGACAATATAGTAGTTTCCTGGCTTAAGCGGTTGCCCATCCCTCTCAACCAACCTTTCGCTACTGTCGCGTAGATCAAATGTATCGGTAAAGAGACAGAAAACCTGCAGCATGGAATAGAGATTGGCGTTGGTAATACCTTCTGCGACCCAGAGGCCTCCGAGCACAGTAGAACGGTTGTCGGGGGCGTAGATGTAGGCATTGCGCCAGGGTGAGCGATCGAGCGGCGGCATGTTTAAAGGTCAGTCAATTTTAGTGTTGCAGTTGGGGATGGGGAAGAAGGGAAGTCAGGCAAAAAAAGGAAAGTTTACGTTCACCAGGGGGTGCAGATCAGGAAGTGCGGTGCCTGCAGGTAGCCCAGTTGCGGTGTGGTTGCACTTGTGTAACTAAGGAAAGAGAAAGGCTGCTTATATACTGAAAATTCTACACGCCAAGCTCTCTCTACAAGCGGAGTTTTTTAGTGGGCGGGGAAATCTCCCTGCGACTGCTAAAGCCACGGGTAAGCTTCGCAAGCTCTGGCGCCCATCCTCCGAGTTGAGTCTTTGCCACTCGGAAGGCCCCCGTGACCGGACCCGGGATCTCCTGCAATGCCGTCACGAACTGCCTCAAGAGGCTCCCAACCATTGCTTCTGCCGTTTGCTCATTTTGCCCACGGTAATCGCAGTAAAGGCAACCAACTCCAACACCCAGTTCTGCAGTCTCATCGCATAGCGTATCAATAACTAAAGAGCTACTCTCGGGTGAGCAGTGATTAGAGTGTATCCTGGCTTATGAATCCTACCAAATAAAAGTCTTCCCCGCTCCAGGGGCACCATGGCAAAACAGGACCCTGTCCGACCGGCCACCCCCACCCTGCCATGCTCGGAATTGGCTACTTTGCAGTACCCACTTTCCTACACCCCGAGTACGGGTACAAGCAAAATCTCTGTGCCTCTCCCATGACTCCAATGGTGATAGCCATAAAAGGATCTGTTGTTCTTCGTTGCTGACGGTTGTGAAATGGTAGGTATTGGTATTCGAGTTTGTGACATTAAAACTGTTTCTGTTACCGCTGAACAGGTTTTGATTGTGGCTGTTGTTCATGATGTCTGAATGCGGACTAGTGGTGCTTGTAGTAATACCGGTATCTTCTTATAAGCAGGGCAGTGCTGGACAGCAAGAGGAGTGTTGATGGTCGCTTTCCAGCGAAAGCGAGGCTCTATTCCGAGGGGAAAAAGCGAAAATGTGGTTGCTGCCTCAATCCCCGCAACTAAATTTACCGGCAGTCACGAGTTGCTCGCACTGTACTCGAGTACTCGTACTCGTATAGTACCTGCCGAACCGGGCGAAAGTGTGGCAAAGGCTTGATATCTTGATATCCTGCCCAACTTGACCTGTCAAGCCACAAGGAAAGGTAGAATAGCCTGTTGTCGAGACCAGGGCTGAAAAATAAATGTCTTACAAACAATCCTGATTCAAATCCCGTGGCACGAAGATTCAACTCTAAGGGGTGTCGTGCGGATGGTAGGCAGATCTAGACGGTTTCTGCAGGGTGGGATTTTACCCAACATAGTGAAATTTGTCTTGGATGTTTCACAAGGCAGAAGAGTTTGGACACTCCGGGTGATCTGGGGGTTCTTATGACCATTTTCTACCCTTGCTTTCCGTCCTAACGGCCATGGCTGCTGCCCCTGTAGGTTTTGGGTGAATGTGGAGGGCAGGTGGAATTATATGGGTAACTTGTTGGTATCATTCTTGTCGGATCTTATTCAAGGCTTGGATTTTGGAAGTCTGGGAGTGTTGAAGTGACTAAATCCGAATGCCAGTGCACTGGGTAAGGAATCCCAGAGCGTGGGCCACAAAATCGAATTAAGCCTCGGTTTAAATTGAAGCCCCCTCAAAAACAGTAGGGTATGAGAGGTGTGCTGTGAAAGAGTTATCAACGTTCTAGTGGTTCTGTGTGCGCTTCATGCCTTTCTGGAGAGGTCTTGGGCCGGTGAAAAATAATAAAAAAATAACCAGGGACACGAGTATGATAACTATTTGTTACCGGTATTCCCAGATAGTAGCCCTCTGCCCATGCTACTTAATATTCTCAAAGCGTCGATCTTTCCTGCTGGTGAATATATACAAATGACTATGTATGATACCAGATGTCGCAGACCCTTTTAGGCATATGTGGGTGCTTACGTACTCCGGATGTCCAATGTTGGCTGCTCCTCCTCCAAATTCCTCTCTTCTTGCCTTTCTTCTTTCTTTTCTTCCTTCTCTCTTACGTCAAGTGTCAGAATCACTCTTCGGGCAAAAAACCAAGAACCTCATAAATCCACTCACTCACTCGTTCACTTGACTCCTCGTCCCTTTATCCCTTGGCACTTCTTCTTTCTCATTTCTTGACTTCACTCCATACAAATTACTCCTATTATATTTATATTTTCATCGCCCGCCCTCGCCTTCCTTCATAGAACCATAACATCCATCATTAACTCCTCAGCCATTTCTTCGGTGCTTCCAACACCTGTTGCCGGAAGCGCCACCGCAACACGACGAGCGGTACAGATATGTTGGGCAGGCCGTTGGGCCACTTGGGAAATGTGGAACTAGGAAATGAATGGAGTCATATTGATGTATATTCACACTGAAAATTGCTATAAGTATGGCAGTCTGAGGTGGATCTGTAGAATCATAAGCACAACAACTATCTTTCTCTTTCTCTAATTTTGATCAGTCCCATCACTCTGCACTTCAACTCCGACCTCTTCTGCGTGACCCCCAACATCTGTTGTTATTCACCACCGAGTGATAATCTATGTTTTCCTCCATCTCCTCATTTCCCTCTCCTGTGCCAAGTTCCCTCAGGCTCTGTCGGATTCCGCGAACGGTGGAAATCAACGCCTCAGAGTTTCCCGTTTTGCCTTTACCCATTCCAAATAGTTGAGATCCCGATCCGGCATTCAGTTTACTTCACTATGTTGGGAAACTCGTGCGCCTTCACATTCACATTCCAGTCGTGACTACTATCCCCAGAAGTAAATATACCGGTAGGCTATAATACCAATTCGTTAAGTTTGTGTCTCGGGAAGGTAACCGGGTTAGGACTTATGAGCCACAAATCATATAGAGGGCTTACCAACTAGAAATTCGCGGGCGATATCCCGCAGAGAGTTTAACGTCTCTGTCGCTCTCGAGAAAGTACTTTTTTGCACCACGGTGTGGTTCAATACCACATCGATGAGGGGGTAAATTATTTACCATATCGCTAGGCTATCATTGAACCTTCAAGCCCTTTTTTAAAGAGTTCCAACCCCTCGCTCCCCCCGGCTGGGTCCGAGGAGATGGTATAGTACATGTCGAATATCATATCTATATCCTAAGTGCAGGAGTACGAGACTGAGGAAGAGGCTAGAAAAACAACAGGTTATCAAAGCCAGTGCCACAATTGAGCAGAGATTTAAGAGATTTTGCACGAGACCCACCTACGAACGCCTAAAAGCCAAGACACGGAACAATTACGTCAGTATTTAATCAGGTTTTCGTCATACCGTTTTTCTACAAAGTATAAGGCACGAAAGCCATAATGGAAGACATCTTACAGTAAAAAGAGGGATTCCGGATTACCTGGCCATTTAGGTGCGATTGGAGACTCGCTATCAGGTGATGGCGCTTTTTCGAAAGGCAGCTCAGCTCTTAAAGAGATAGGCACCGACATGAAAATATCACCTCTTATGGCAGACGGATAGCGCACATGATCACTAGTCTTGCTGGATGACTTCGATCGATTTTAGTGAAGCGATCCCTTGACGAGGGCGATGGGGGTGTGGATATCAAGAAGGACTTGAAACGGCTCAAGAAAACTGTTGAGCCGAATTTTCTTAATAGTCCCTATCCGGCCAAGTTAAGCCCTTTTCGTCGTATAAAAAGGGGAAACAGAAGTATACCTACACTGTTAAAAACACAATAACCCACAGCAAGTCACTCCTGGGTTAGGCTATCCTATCGAATGAGGAACGTCTCGATCGTTGCACCCTCACAGAGGTTTCTCGTGCGTGGTTGCGGATCGCTAGGAGTCACGACCAGTACGGTGAGAGACTTGACTTGAGACGGAAGATAGGCGCCCACCCCATGCCTTCCTCGTCTGGTACTTTTATACTACTTATTCGTAGTGACCGCTCGATATCTTATGTCACAGCCTGCTCGGTTGCTTTGAATAGCTAGACCGACAAGAGAGATGGCTTTTCTCTCAAAATTTCTCTTCTAAACTTTCTAATCTCGGGCTAACATTCCACATCAGGGGCCCTTACACCCAACAGGCGTGCTAAAAACCCCATCGGTCATCCTAATTTCGCTTGACCACACCCTACCACCTTAGCAATCACAGACCCCGACTCGAGCTCAAGCACTCGACGCCAAGAAGTCCAGTCACAAGAGCCCCCTTCAAACCGTTAGCCAATCAGGTCGGGCCGAGTTGGAAGACCGAGGTAGGTCCACAAAGTGGTCCCGTGTCCCTTTTCCCTATGATATGGTACTTGGGTCCACCCACGGTACCGATACGGCACACCTGTGCTCCGGAATCCTTGACTCGTCTAAATTTGGTTTAGCAACGTTCAGTCAGTTGATCACCATTACCATTCCATCTCCAAAATTACCCGTACACCATCTCACAACTCGTCACTCGCAAGCAACTCCTAACCTCTTTCTTTCTTTCGGGAAAGAAAAGGAAAAAAACAAAAAAACAGAGAACCCTTTACCAGGAGGGAACACGTCCGCCGGTAGGGCAAAGCACAATCAAAAAAATTACTAGTGTCCAATCACCCCGCCCCACGTCCAGGCCGCATAGCTCAAATCAAATGACTCACCCCTCTATATAAACATTCTCGATCACCCCCCACTTATTAGGGAGAAATCTCCCCAACGATTGTGGTGCGCGGAACGACAAAAAAAAAATCAAAAAAAATCCGTAAAATGATCCTTCGGAGCCTCCTGCTTTTTGCCGCTAGTGGGCTGGCTGATATAATTTTGCCCGTTTATAATGGACCCCCGAGATTGAAGTACAGTGTTGTGCCCGGGTATTTCAAGCAGAGTGATTTGGCTACGGATGACAGAACATATGATGCGGTTTGTTTGGAAGGAGAGAATTATTCCTTGAGCTTGAGATCGACTGTTGACCATCTTGTAGCTTAGCGATAGCTTTGGCCTTACGGACCCGAGTCCTCATCGATGGTACCGCTTTCGTCAGAACATTTACGCCCTCAACATGGGCGCTCCACAGGGTGTTAGATATGTGGTGCTATATCTCGCAAGACACGGACAAGGACAACATAACGTTGCGGGTATACCCTCCTGGTGTCCCCACTAGGCTCCTCCGCCCACTGCTAATGGAAATGTCATATTTTTAGAGAAATTTTTCGGCCAAGAAGCCTGGGAATGTTACTGGGCGATGCAAGGAACGAACGGCACCTGCACCTGGGGACCCGACGCTAAACTCTCACCCCAAGGCCACTCGGAAGTAGCCAGGACCTCCAAAGCCTGGAAACACGAAGTCCCGTACGGCATCCCCCTTCCTGAATCTCACCACGTCTCGCCACTTTCCCGGTCTCTCTCGACCCTCGTTGAAACCTGGAAACCAATAGCCCTGAACCCACCCCTCCCCGTTTGCAATGAACTCCTCCGCGAAACCCTCAGCCTGCACTATGGGGATAAGCGATCCAAAGCTTCGTACCTGAGGGAAACATACCCGGAAGTGGAATTCCCGATCGAAGAGGAAGACCCCCTGTGGAACTTCCACCGTGAATCTGAAATCGGAAGGAATATGCGCATCAAGCACGTCCTCGACGAGATTCTCAGCAATGATCCCAGCATTTACATCGGCATGACAAGCCACTCTGGTGTCATCAATTCCACACTCGTAGCATTGGGGCATAGACCTTACGTCCTACAAACCGCGGGTGTCCTCCCCGTCGTGGTCAAAGTAGAAAGAGACCCCGGGTGGAGGGGAGAAGTACTCTGGGGAAAGAAGGAGAGCTGGGAGGTCCCGAAGGTTGAGTTGAGGAGCGTTTGCCCGGGATACGAACCTGTGCTGGTTTCTGGCCAGTACGTCGACGGGATGGGTGTTTGGCCTTACTCGTAAAACGCTAGCAGTTGGGCGATGGAAGCGATCCCTTGTACGAGTATACAACGCCTTACCAGATATAATATCTAGGCACGGGGGTCTTCGGGAGCTCCAAAAGGGATGGGGCGGGTGTATATATACTCACATTTCTTCCCTCTTTACTTTCATCATTTTCCCACAAGGTTCGTAAACATAGAGGGAATGGGGAGAAACGAATTTCGCTATTAAAAGTTCTTTTTTTGTTGGCACCGAACGGAAAAAACAATTGCCCAATATGATAATAAACCCACTAGCACAGAGACATTGCGATAGATAGACAAACAGAAAAAAAAAAAATGAGGCGATAGCAAACACAAGTAGTTGCAAGCTAGACCAGAGTGAGTGCTTGGTCCGATCGAGCGAGGGAAGAAAAGAGGAAAGGATAGCATAAGGAATACCATAGCTAGCAATGACGAACTCCATCTCATCTCATCTCCAGGTTGGGGAAAAGGAAACAAGGTCCTGAAAAAGAGGCGGTACAAGGGAAAGACCAACGACGGTTAATCCCCTCCTTTCGCATTGGACTGGCCCTCTTCGACCCCCTTCAAGGAGGGATACGGAAAGGGGGGGGTTGGGAGAAGAGGGGAAAGAAAAAAAGGAACGATTTGATAATACATATTCCCCTCTCATCCTCCGACAGCAGGCTCCGCCGGACTAAATAACACTGGAAGTCCTTGGCCGTTTTCTGGCGGATCCTCTCGTCTTCTCGGCGGTTCCTGGCGGTGCCATGATTTCTGTCCCCTCGCGTTCGTCCCTGTGGACATCTTTGTTCTTCTTCTCCTTCTGGTCCAGAACAATGGATAGCATATCGTAAGCGAATTGTGGAAACTCGAGTATCATGCCACGGAATTCGTCTTCGGCTTGGTGGCGGAGGACATGACCTATTTAATTGTGTTAGCACCATCAGTAATGTAGAAGGGGCGCGGGGGGGATGTACTCTTGTGAGCCCAATAAGTGGCAATCGGGGTTCGTATAGTCTTGTCTTCGCGGGGGGTATTGGCGTACACGAATCTAGCGTATTCCAATTCGCCCTTCGCCGTAGAATTGATCTTGTGGATTTTAGCGTGAGCGAGAGTCTTCAATTCGTCCATTCCGAGTTTCTCAGCGAGTGTGTAGATTTTGGCGTGTTTGAGCAAGTGAGTACCGTCGAGGTCTTTCTGTATACCCAAGTCCGGATCTAGAGCCTCAAGGATTGTGTCATCGTGTCTTTGCGGGTTCGGGACGAGGCGCGGGGAATACTCGTCCGTGTATAGGTACTGCAGGAAGCATCCGACTGCATCGAGATCCTCGTCCGGGAGGTCAACCACGCGCTCGGAAACAGGGGTGTCGTGGGTATAGGAGGAACAGATATCGGTCAGGTAAGGGCTTCGTAGGAGGAAGGCTTGGTGGGCCGATAGCACGGAACCGCCGTTTTCGATGTCCCCAATGTTGATGGTTATGGTTGGAGTTGCGAGGAAGCTAGTTATCCAGATTTTAGTGTGCTCGGCTTTTATGATTGTCGTTTTGTGTTTCATGATTGGGGTTGGATTAGGGATTGACATGATGGGGTTGGAAACGGAGGGTGCGGGGGAACGGGAGGGGGGTGGGCGGAGGGGATGATTTGCTTACTTCGCGTAAGTTTGTCTCTTAATTCTAGCTAAGACCCCATTGCCGTCAGGTTCTTCGCCCTCGTCTCCGTCGTCTCCGTCCTTTATGACGATTAAGTCAGTGCTCTCGCCCTCGCCTGGTTGCTCCTCAAACAAAGGGTCTACAACCCCATCTCCATTATTATCAAAACTTGAGGTCTCAACGACCACACCCTCCATTGAGTCAGCAGTGGAGATAATTGCAGGCGTACCGGTCGCCGAAGCCCGAGTTTCGCCTCTAAGAGGAGCTACAGGGGCAAGGTTATCGTGCTCGTCGGACATCGCGTTGGAAAAGACGAAGACAGGGTTAGGGAAGGTAGGGGAGGAGCAGGAGGAGGGGGGGGGGGTATGGAAAAGGGCTCAACCAAATGATAGGGGAGGAAGAGGATGAGTTCGAAAGGGAAGAGGATGAGAGGTGGTTGGTTTGTTGACGTGCTTGGTAGCCGTGCAGAGTACCGCGTTGGGGTTAGCGAGACTTCCTGGGGGTGGCCCCTAACCCTGCGCCCTCGTCTGGCTGCGGCTCGATTGGCTGTGGGCAGTGTGAGACAAGCGGGCTATCCGTGGTGCAGGGGGCAAGAGGCTTGGATGTTACACTGGCAACTGGATAGTCTACTGTCTGGCAGTGTCTACTATGATACGAGTACGGTGCTGGTGCTCGATTACCGGCTCTGCGCGGTAACGGTGTTAAATATGATGATGTTCATACCGGTAGAGCACAGTATCTAATTATCATCGCAAGGCGTTGTGCAGCGAGGGGGAGTCGAACCCCGTTTTTTTCCGCAAATTTTCACGTTCGATCACCGTCCAGCAGACAAGCTATAAGAGAAGCCTACAGTACAGGTACTGGACTGTATGAGCATGATCACGAGAAACGCCGGATTATTCTACTCGTACTCGAACAGCCCAGATAGTTTGCATTCAACTGAATGTTCCTGCGGAGCTGGCCTCCTTTATCGCTGGGCAGATGTTTTCCCTATGGTAGCTAGACTACCGCGGTTTAGCACTGCAATTCGATGTGAACGGCGGCGGGTCGAATGGGTCTTGGGTTACTGGTACGTAGATACCGCTGCACTAGTACAAGTGTCTGCCAAATACCCAACTGGTGTTATTCAGTGTCAAAAAGACGATTCCCAGTAACAAGTAAATGCGGGAAGTCGGGCAAGGTTGCTTTCCGGTATTAGCTGGCAGCTTCCTCATGTTTTGGGTGTCATATTATCATATTTGAATGTCCCAAGGTACTCGAGTACAGTACGGTACTAGCCAGTTCATTTGCTATGCGGACAGTCCACAACCCTAACCCACAGACCTCTCACTATACAACACTTGATTCTGAGTCTCTACAATGAAGAAAGTGAAAACTATTGCAAAATAATTGCTTAGTAGGAGTATATTTAGGACATGAGGGAGTATTTGAGTGAGTGAAAAATTTGTTTTTTAAGAGGGCACTTTTTTTTTCGTTGTAACTTGGTATGGGAAAGTTAGGAGTATACACTGTCCGCATAGCCAATTAACCAGCGAGTGCAAGTAACCAACTGAAGGTGAAGTGTAGAGCTTACAAGTGAGGTTACAATTATGATAGATCTTATAGAGATTACAAGAACCCTGTATTCATTAACAAAAAGTTAAAGTCCAGAGATTTTTGCAAGTGAGGGTGTATAATTATTTCCAAAATATTCTATAATATTTTTCAGAACCTATTTCAATTTTTTAAATTTTCCTTTCACATCATGTATTATTCTGGTGATATGGTAAAGCTATGTTAAGCTGAATCATGTACTGTATCAATTATGGATCTCCGGACCTTTATGTATAGCAGATGGAAAAAGATATGGTATGATATAGTAATGTATAATAAAGTTAAGTAGAGGTTTTCTAAGTTAAAAAAGTGGCAAACCTTAGCTTACTTTGCAGTTTCATATAAGTTTGGCAGAGATATAAAAATAGTTGATTTACTGTTGCTTTATCATACAATACAATACTGGTTTTCTATATTGGGATAAATGATAAAGAGTCTGTAAATAGGAGTAGGTGAATTAAGTAAATCAAGGAGACTGGAAAGGGTATACAGTACCCAATACTTTTCAGTATTCCTTCTTTCTATCATAGTTAAAATGATTTCTAAAATAAAAAAATTTCAATAGATCCCTCTGGATACTATTGCACAATCAATCTCTAGGTAAAAAAAAAAAATGAGGGAGCTTTCATAACCTTTACGAAATTCTTAATATGATCTGTTTGCTGGTTTCCAAGGTATTTTTATTCATTTATTTACTTATGGTATACTACTTTCTACCGTTTTTTGTATGGTGCCTTGCACGCAGAGTGTATTGTGCTCCGAGTCCATCCAACATGTAATGCTCGAACCTCTATAAAACTAGCACTATACCCTAAATCCTGCCTTCATAGTAAAACATTAGCTTTCATTTACATCAGCATAATAAATTGATAATAGAGAAGAACGATTGACTGGCTGTGTCGGAGCTGTTGAAGCCATAGTACCGTATTGGAAGTAGGAGGAGAAGCTAAGTTCGATATTGAAAGGTGAATATTGTACCATTTTGTTGTGACTTGTGATAGGGGGAGTCGGTGCTTCGGTTGTGTAAAATTTGGAAGCACAATCTGAATGTAAGAGTAAAAAGTGCTAAGGTATTATTAATTTAAGATATTGCTGTGAATAAAAGTTAATATTTTATTATGGAGGCAGGATTTAGGGTATGGTGCTAGTTTCATAGAGGGTTGAGCGTTACATGTTGCATGGAGTACGGTATCATACACCTTTTGCGTGCAAGGCACCATACTCCTGCGAACGAACAGAATACGTCCCCCTAGGCTTGTAAGGTGACCTGCTTGCTAGATTGCTAGAATTAGAGGTGTTCCCCTGAGGATGAGCCTTGTCCGCGGGGTCATTCGATGGAGACAGTCGCAAAATGAGTTCACTAAGGATATGCCTGGTTGCAACACGAAACCCCTGCTCCAGTACTGGAACAGTGGACTACCGACCCGGCTGCCAGAATGAAGTTTTGGGTGAAAACTCGGGTATTTTTTTACAAAGTCATGAAATGGGTAAACCCCAACCCAACCCAATACCGTATTTCACAAACCTTTGTTTTCAAAGAGCTATCATACCACTATCAGCACGGGGAACAAGAAAAATAAAAATAAAAATAGATATCCAAGTCCAGGTGCCACTATTTTCCCCCTTGGGCAGGTTTGACACCACAAAAATGATGTTTTTCCGGCTTTCACGGCGGTTTTTTACTCTAAAGTAATGCAGTATGAATAAACCGGGGTGTGTCCGGCAAGTACTTGTGCAAAACCGGCACTACGTTCGTGCTCGTACATTAAATTGACGTCCCACCACTTTCAGGCTCATATTTTCCGCTGACAGCCAGACACTCCTCAGGGCATCGAAAATGCCCGAGGTGAGAACTCTGGATTCTTCCAGTTCCCAGTACCAGTTCCGGTTTCCGCTATTTCCAAGGTTTGAAAAATCCAAGACGGCCAGATACCGGTACGCCCTAAGAAATACTGGAAATAACCCCACGATGATCGAGGCCTCCGTCTTGGTTCCTGCCGGCCAAGCTTTAGAATTATCATACCAGTACTCGAGTAGGGTCCGAAAGCGGGATGGCACATGGCGAACTAGGTTAAGGGTCTCATACGGGGCCATGTTTGGGAGGGGTGGATTAGTGGTAGTGTGGGGGGCATTATGATAAGTTACCTTCGGTTTTTATCTCTTTCTCTCTGGTTTCTGCAAAGTGGACTATCATATTATGCAAAAGCAAAAGTGCCACAGCTGCTGTTGGAACCGTGCCCTAATTTGAGTTAAGTTACCGGCAGTTTTGGGGGCAATAGCCCCCATTTTCACAGCAAGTGAAAAGGCAAAAGTGACAACGACCAAAACACCTTACAGGTATCACCGGTAACATCGTAGAGCAGGGAATTCACTGGCAGAAGACAGCAGCAGCTCGTACCAGTGTTTGAAACTCTTCATCTCCGATCTCTGTGATGAGGGGACAATAATGCCGATTCAAACTGCACTGCTAGCCCACTAGCCTCCTTGGCGCTCGCGAGCTCCGGGGGCTGCAACTCATCTCGAGCAGGGAAGCCACAATACAGTCGGGCTGATTGCGATCCAGGGGATCGGACCTTTTCTGCTCCTCTCACCCACTATCTGCAATAATCCCTCCGAGCAGCATCTATCCGATCATTTGCTGTTCTCCGTTTGGTATCCCTCCGTCACCATCGCCTCAACTACTCCTCCGCATCACCCCTCACCACCCCGCTACCCCTTTCAACCCCGCATTTTCGCCCGACAATTCCCATCCCAAAAAAATATCTGCGCTCAATGGCACCAGCTAAAGATCCGAATACTCTCTCCAATCATCTGGAATTTTCTACCACTCATACAGCTATCTCGTTGACTTTGTCGTTCTCGAAATCCTCACTTTATGGTGAAGTCGAGTTGACATTGAAGACTCTTGCAGATGATCTGAAGCAAGTTGTGCTTGACACCAGCTTTTTAGATATTAAAGTCGTTGCGGTTAATGGTAAGGGTGCGAAGTGGACTGTTGGAGATCGGGTTGAGCCATATGGAAGTCCCTTAAGGGTTGATCTTGAGAAGGCTGTCAATTCTGGGGATGAAGTCATAGTTAAGGTAATTCTTCTCTTCCAAGTCCTTCGCTTTGGTATCTACGATATAACTCCCGGCTTTATTGTAGGTCACATGGGGCACTACCGAGAAGTGTACCGCGCTTCAATGGATGACCCCCGAGCAAACATCAAACAAGAGGCACCCGTATATGTGTAACCATCGCCACTAGCACTCCCGGCTGTAGCTTTGCTAACCATCTCAAAGTCTCACAATGTCAAGCGATTCATGCTCGCTCACTATACCCCTGCCAAGATACTCCCTCGATAAAGTCCACCTTTGATTTCTCCATCCGCTCACCCCTTCCCGTGTGTGCATCCGGTCTCCCCACTGGCGTTCGTCACTTTGTCCCAGCAACTTCTCCATCGGAGCCGGGGACTCTAGTGTACACCTTTAGGCAGCCGATCCCAATACCGTCCTACCTGATGGCAATTGCATCGGGTGATATCGCGAATGCAGCGGTTGGACCTCGTAGCTTGGTTTATGCTGGTCCTGAGGAACTTCTTCGGTGTAAGAGGGAATTAGAAGATGACGTCGAAACCTTCATTAAGACAGCCGAGTCTTTGATATATGCATACGAATGGACAACCTACAATGTGCTAATCCTCCCACCTAGCTTCCCCTACGGTATGTGACTGCGTACTCCTGACTAGGGAACAACAGATTAACACTAGCTGGTTAGGTGGAATGGAAAACCCATGCATAACCTTTGCAACTCCAACAATTATCTCGGGCGATAAATCCAATGTCGATGTCATTGCACATGAACTTTCTCACAGTTGGTCTGGAAACCTAGTCTCCAACGCCTCATGGGAGCACTTCTGGCTCAACGAGGGGTGGACAACCTACATCGAACGGAGGATCCAGGGTAAGGTTCACGGAGACAAACATTTCCATTTCTCGGCAATCATCGGGTGGAAAGCTTTCAAGGAATCCGTGGAGCTTTTCGGTGCAGACCACGAATTCACAAAACTGGTGATTGATCTCAAAGGAAAAGACCCCGACGACGCATTTTCTAGTATTCCCTACGAGAAAGGCTTTAACTTCCTCTATTACCTCGACAGACTTATAGGAAGGGAAAAATGGGATACCTTTATTCCTCACGTAAATCCCACTGCCCCCTCTTGCAGCATCAAGCTAACAATATACAGTACTTTTCAAGCTACCGTAGGAAGTCTCTTACTTCTTTCGATTTCAAGGACACTCTTCTATCCTTCTTCTCCAAAGATGTAGAAGCTTCTTCTGTTCTCGCAAATGTCGACTGGGACACCTGGTTCTACAAACCTGGGCTCCCCGAAAAACCTGACTTTGATACGACACTAGCGGATGCATGCTATGCTCTCGCCGGCTCCTGGCAAGCCCTGAATTCCTCCAACTCTTCTTTCAAACCCTCGCCGTCAGATATCTCCGGCTGGACATCCGGCCAAATTGTCGTCTTCCTCGAGCGGATCACAGACTTTCCCACCCCTCTTCGCAAGCATCTCATAGAGCTCATGCGTGATGAATACGGATTCCTTAAGAGCGAGAATGCAGAGATATTGAGCCGTTTCTTGACGGTCGGTCTCAAAGCAAAAGACGAGAAGCTTTACCGCAAGACAGCAGAGGTATTGGGTAGGTGGGGGAGAATGAAGTTCGTCAGACCTTTGTATAGGCTATTGAACGAGTGCGATAGGAAGCTGGCATTGGAGACCTTTGAGAAGAATAAGGGCTTCTATCATCCAATCTGTAGGGGGGTCGTGATGAAGGATTTGGGGATTAGTTAGATGGGGGTCCTGCATGGTTGATATGAGGATTCTACTGTATCATAGCCCTGAGATCTAAATCTACCCGAGCTAGATCTAGTAAGCAAGTTGTAGTTGTGATATCGTACGAGATCTCTATTGCGTTGAGCGATAGACGATCGGCCCCTCTTGACATTTTTATTTTGTTGTCGTACAGGGAAGACATCGTAGCCCTTCCGTACCCACTTGGGTTTCCAATATCGACCAGCTTCACTCTTTGGAGTATCATAGATTATTTGACGTTTGCCCCCGGGCGTAGACCTAGAGGTATTACCGTCGGTGGATTCAGTTCCGTACTAGGGTGTGGTCTACATCATATTGGCCGGTTGCTGTGCTGGTATCGTAGAGCCTTGTTTAGGCCCTGTTTGGCATGACACAGAATAAAAAAACTCAGTTTTTATGAAAATAGTAATGCTTAGTAGGCCTAAAGTTTTTTTTCCCTACCTGAATAAGTGACTGTCATTTTAGGTATAATCTATAGTAACATATTATTGTAATAAATATTTGTTTATAAATTAATACTAGCTTTGTTATAAATATATTATACCTTATAGTTAACAGGATATAGTCTAGACAAAATTTTATTATTATATACATTAACAACAAAAGCACAGTAAAATCATCTCCGGTTACACTATATAATCGAATTTCCACTTAAGTATGAGACTATTAAAAAGAAAAGGTTACCCTTATACCAGCAAGCTTAACTTATAGGAAATACAATATCAAAAAATACTAAGAATAAAAAAACAGAGGATTGAAATACCAGGGTACTTTTGTACTTGTCAAACACTCCCTGAAAATTTTAGTTTAATACAGAGGAAAAAATTGAGGATAAGAGAGAAATACTCAGTTTGTCTGGCATGCCAAACAGGGCCTCATATGATTTTTTCAAGTGGCACATCCCTTAACCTGTACTCTCGTTCACGCACTTTTAGCCTCACGCTAAAGTGGGAGATCGTCGATCGCATGGACAAAAGAAGTAGCAACTAGAGTTAAGATTTAACCCAAAAGGAGCAATGATCAATTGCAAGATAAGCGCAACAAACGCAAGGGAAAAAAAATAAAATAAAAAAATTGGAAAGACTCTCCAGCAGAAAAAACCTATTCAAGGGTATGAAAGAGGTTAAAACAATAGGTCTTGCAGAGCGGAACATTGAAAGTAGCAATTTTACAATAACTGCAAGCAAAATAAGTTCTGTGAATTCTGCCCTGAGGGCCATCAGGTGCATGGTGAAAGCTATCATAGTAGGGGGAATGAGGGGGAAGCTTAGAAAGAAACCGGCAAAGGAAGCAGTATCGAGGTCGTTTTTGGAATTCATTTCGTATCAGTTTATGGGTAACTGGATCTTTTCGCATCAAAGGAAGCCTGGTAACCTTCGTAATATAGCCCATCGTACAACTAGCATGGGTATTTCCTTCCGGAACACAGAGAGAGGGTTGGGCAAACTGTAACTGCTGTTCATAAGTAGGATGCAACAGTTTATATCCTCTCTCTACCAGATCCCAGACCAATCGTTCTCGGTATTGTGAATGTGATTGCCAAATGGAATGTCGCCCTCCTCCCATATGTTGCTGTGCTACAAGAAAAGAATTAATCACTGTAGTGTCCAGAAGCCAAAAGAAAAGTGGCATCCAATTTCTGACAACGCGTAATTGTGTAGAATAATAACTGCGCCGTTGATCAGCTATGTCCACTCCTCCCATATGGAGATTATAGTCGACAGTAGCAGTTGGTAGTGCGAGCTCCTGGACCGGATTGTTCCCCCACACCTCATCAATCAAGTCGCGATATGCATCACGATTACGGGGACGCAGAGGACGACGATGACGACGAATTGTATAGTTTTCCGGTTTCGATTGCATATCATAAGCTGTAGTAAGAAGTCTTACTAATGTCTTATCTTGCCAGATAACAGCTAATACCTGCCTGCCATCCGGTATAACTCCCGAAATCGTACCCCATGGTAAAAGTGCCTTTTTTTTTTTAATCTTCAAAACTCGGGGATACTCGGCTGAATTTGGACGTGTAGTACCACAAGCAGCAATTTGTAGGTACCGTAAGGCTTGAAATAGAGGAATATTACTAAAATAATTGTCACAATAAAGGACAAACCGGTACTGCTGATAGGGTAGGGCAGTAGCAAGTCGAAGTACTGCACGTGAGGTTGGGCTTAGTGGCAGAATACCAGGTCCAAGATATGGTAAATCTAAGTCCTGTCCTGAGAATTGTGCAACTCGGGAGGTATACATAAAAGAAAATGTATACCCATGCTCACACAAAGCAAAAACCTTATACCCTTCTGGTATTGGCTTATTGGGGAGTCTAACTGTATGAACAGAGCGGCCAACAAACCGTATCATCATCTCATCAATTGAGACTTCGGTCGCTGGAATGTAGTACCGCTGAAACCGCTGCTGTAGCGTACTCGAAAGAGGTTCCAACTTCTGGTACCATAGGTTTGGAGGTAAGTTTTCAATCGGAGGTGAGATATGAAAGAACCGTTTCAGTTGCTCAAAGCGTACTTGGCCCATATACTGAGATATTCTATTGTTCTATTAGTTCTACTCCCTTCAATCTATATTACATTTGTATACCTGTGGAGTGGAGCAAGACCATCTTTCCGCCAGTAATCTGGTATGGCACTTGAATGATACAAGCCCATATAGATAATCAATCCAACAAAAACCATCATTTCCCCTGCCTGCGTGGCATACCATTTCCGTGAGCCATCTCTACCAGCCTCCTTTACCGTTGCGTAAGCATTGGTATTACAAGCGAGGGTTTCAAATTGCTCATCATCAAAAAAGAGCAAAAAGAAGTCCAATGCAGATCGATTGGTACCATGGTTCAAGCGTGGATCTTGAATAGTATTATGGTGGTCAGCAACACGGAACTCATCAGGAAGGTTGAGAATCCGCTTGTGAGATGGTCTTGGATGCTTATAGGGCTCGAAAGGTGGAACCGGAGGTAGTGCTTGTATAAGAGCCAGCTCTTGCTGACCACCCAAGCCCCCTACGCCTTCTCCCTCACTGCTATCTTCCTCACTTGCATCCCGTAGTAGTACCTCATTCTCTAGGGGTACTTCATCCTCAATGGCATTCTCAGCAACATCCTCAATAGCATCCATAGCAGTATTCTCGGCGGTATCTGCAGCAGCATTCTCGGCGGTATCTGCAGCAGCATTCTCGGTGGTATCTGCAGCAGCATTCTCGGCGGTATCTGCAGCAGCATTCTCGGCGGTATCTGCAGCAGCATCCTCGGTAGTATCTCCTATGGCATCCCCAGGCCCAGCAGTATCCTCATTGCCATTCGCAGTACTATTCTCAGCGGCATTCTCGGCACCATTCTCAGCATCCTCCTCAGTGGCATTCTCGGCACCATCCTCAGCAGCATCCTCAGCAGCATCCTCAGCACCATTCTCAGCTGCATCCTCAGCAACATCCTCCATAGTATTCTCGCCAGCTTTTTTTCTGTTGTTGATGATTTCCACTTCAATCGCTTCTCCAAGTCCTCCCAGTCGTCCACCTCCGAATCCATAGAATGCCCCTTCGCCTTCATCACTTTCATAAATACAATCCGAATTGTCCATCACTGTAGGACTCCGAGTCAAGATTTCTTAATACTAGACACGTTGTGTACAGACATTTCATGTGAGATAAATATGACTAAATCAACTGGATTGTGAGGAACAGACTTACGGTATAGGAGTACAAACAGTATAGAAAGACTCCGGATGTGGGTCAAACAATGCTTTCGGCCAGCGAGCTGACTAGGATATAACTCTGGATGCGAAATTGCAAAGTCTGAAGTACAAAGTCTCTCCGCAAACCTCTACTCAAGTACCCTGGCGGTTGTATGGTTGTGCTTTCTTGCCTACATTGGTTTACTAAGCCTCTCACATGGTGTGTTACATCATGATTATCCAGATCGATTGCCATTTTGCCTAGTTCCATTACGCTTATAATCCACGCTATCAGCTTAGCCTTTAGCCACAGTGTTTGAATACAGGTTAAGGGATGCCGTGTATAGTTGGTGTGGCTCATTCGATTTACACGCGGCGGAGTATGATAGCATTGATTCCGCGAAGGCACGGGTACGGTACAGTACACCCAGTTGAGGTAGGCGCTGGCCGAAAGGTTTGATATCAACCAAATCGAAAAATCCTTTTAATTATAACGCCGGATGGTCAGTCGGTCTCGTGACGTTTTTCCTCTTTAGAACCAACACCCGCCACTAGGCTCTAAAAGCCCGAAGGCGACATAGGATAGCCTGGGCCAACTGCGGTTGGCCGGAAAAAAACAGCCTGTACGAGTATAGTACAAGTACAAGTACCGAGCTTGTAGCCGCCAATAATTTTCTTAAACTGCTGTTTATCGACCCTTATGGGCCTGGGGCACTATTGATCACTTCGGTATGATATGATGGTTCTCGTTTTTTCATAGCCTCAGAACCTAGTACTCGTATCCCCGGTGTGCAGATTAACTTAACCACGGGCAGGGTCCCAGAGCTACACTTTTCGGGCCCTGGGGCATGCGCGCGTTCCAACTGGCTTTAACCGCGCCGGGTCAGACACCCTCATCCCTTGACCGCACTGGCCTGGTTTCAACCAGCCGAGCCCACCGGAAGTGCCGGTATTCCTCGCAACCCAGCCGTGACGTTACTCATGTCTTGGCGTTACATTCTCTCGACCCAATTTATGCAAACCCCGCACTGAAACAAACAACCCCACCATTAACCTCCTCATCCCCCTCCCAAAGTTTACTCCATCTAAAAGTTCATCGAAAACATACAAACGGATATCTATATACCTGATGACGGACAAGAACGAGAAGGCAGACGGAGCCGCTGCGGCCGAGAGTAATGCCGAAAATGGTTTGTGGTCTCGTCTATCTCTACGTGGTTCCAAATTTCAGTGTTTTTTTTTCGGAGGTCGAAGAGTTTGAACGCTGATTGGCTGGGTCACAGAGTTTATGCTTAGTCTTACAAAGTATAACGACGCTGCGGCGATTGCTCACAGAGTCCTTGCAAAGGTCTGCAAACTTGCGATTGAAGGAGATGGGAAGACTATTTTGAGCTTGTGCCAGGAGGGTGACGAGTTGTTGGATGAAGAGTGCTCGAGGGTTTATAAGGGAAAGAAGATTAGCAAAGGTAGACTTTCATTTATCCCTTGTCGATTTTTCCTATCGAGATGGATTGAGCGGAGGTTTATCCCTCGATTCCGTGCTCGAGACTTCGATGCTAATGTTTGTGTTCACAGGAATCGCTTTCCCAACCACCGTTTCTCCAAATGATATCCTTACGCCGTATACTCCTTTAGCGACTGACCCCGGCGAGAGCGAGATTGCTATCAGGAAAGGCGATGTTCTAAAGATTCAGTAAGAGACTATGTGGAACAAAATTTCATCTTCCATGCCTGCTCATATTTATCTAGGCTTGGTGCCCAGTTAGATGGTTATCCTGCTATTGTCGGGGACACGGTTATCGTCGGTCAGGATGCGGAGCTTACCGACGACCGGAAAAACCTCCTCCTGGCAACCCACTATTGTAACGAGGCTCTATTGCGTCTTCTCATCCCGTCCGATATTCACCCTCTGTCAACTCCCGAGAAGCCACACAAGCAGCCTTCCCCTAACGAAATAACTCAGATTCTCAACAAGATCGCTGGGACCTACGACTGCAGCCTCGTCGAATCTACTACGTCGTTTAATTTTCTCCAAAATGAGATTGAGGGAAAGAAGCGCCTTGTACTACATCCAGGTGAAGCTATGCCGAAGTCTGAGGGAGCCCCTGAAGTTGGCGATATCTGGGGCGTGGAGTTAGCTCTAAGCAAGGGTTCCGGTAAACTCAAGGATGTCCCTGGAAAAAGACCCACATTGCACAAGAAAACAGATACGAAAGTTGGACTCAAACGCCAGACTTCAAAGACTACTTTCACTGAGGTTAACAAGAGGTTTGGAAACTTCCCATTTGGCCTGAGGCAATTGGAGGATGAGAGAATAGCAAAGATGGGTATTGTTGAATGCGTTCGTTGCGGTGTTGTCAGGCAGTTTGAGGTTCTCGGAGAGAAGGATGGGTCAATCACATCAAGGCTTTTCACCACCATCGGTAAACTCCTTACTATAATAACTTGTGGAAACTAGGATAGCGCTAATGACCACAGCAATCACCAAAGCTGGAATCAACAAGATCGCCGCTCCTCCGGAGCCCGGACTTGAAAAACTTATTACAGACAAATCTATCGAAAACACGGAAATACTAGGTTTATTGCAGCTGCCCCTCAAGAAGGCAAAGAAGAAGAAGCCCGCCGCCAAGAAGGAGGAGTGATTTCCTTTTCCCGGCCGAACGGAGGCGGGAGAACCCGCGTAAGAAAAACAACCAGAAAACGGGCTGAGGAAAGAAGGTTAATATTGCTTACATTCTTTCTTTCTTTACATTCTTAAGGCTTTATTCTCTTGCCCCCTCCCCTATCTCTTCTATTCTACCAAAAAACGAGAAAGTTAAACACAAAAAGCTCTCCTGTTTCGCTTTGTGTGAAGTGTGAAGTGTGTGTGGAAAAGCGTACTGTAATTGGTGTGCGAGTGAGGGGGGCATGGTTGTGACCTGACCTGATGTCTTTGTGAAGTCCTGTGCTACTTTAGGAGTTTGGAATGCAGATGAGCCCATTATGGTACTGCTGTGATGAGTTTTAATTATCACTGTGATGACTTGATAAGAGTTACTATGCTAGTGCCTGTAGTAAGATTACCCGAATAATGGGGCCCCTCCGGGTATCGTACCCCGATAGACGCAAAACTTCAACACCAACAGGGGTATTGGACCAGAAGCTTAGCTCAATATCTAGCATCCATCCGCTCCAAAAACTCATCCCTCAAAAAACTGAATCACTCTTCTGTTACTACTCCGGCCCTCCCATTCTCGAAAGTATGTAATATTTTTCGCACATCAGGTCAGGCCACGTGCTCGTGCTCACCCGCCTCAAACCATACCCTCTCTAGCAGTCTTTAGCATCCCCCCTGAGATGAAAGACCCACGAGTGTGAAGCCATTGTGTTTACCCTATCAGCTACAAACGTTCTAGGTGTCACGAAATTCGGGTGTACGGTATGTTGCTACTCCTGGGGAATTTTCTCCTTCTGCATGTTTTCTCACGGATGAAATGTGGAGCAGTATCCTCCGCCGCACAAATGGGAAGAACCGCCGTTGAAGGAGCGGACTAGCGGGTAAATTGAGGGGTATTGTGTGGGGAACGTTTATTTAGGAAATTAATATAGGAGATAGATTAATATGTGGAAAGCTAGAGCATATGCAAGAAATGGGGATATGGTTTAGTGGTATAATACCTCTTTAGCATAGAGGTGGTCCGGCGTTCGATTCGCCGTATCTCCAGTCCTTTTTGGTTTATGTTTTGCTGTGGTATCAAAGTTTTTAGAAGAAGAGGTAATTGGGTTTCGAGAGTAGCGATTTTATTGGTGAGGGACACTGCTCACCGCTCGGTATCGCACCATCCCGGATCGCGGTGGGCTTGGAGCGTGGGTGTTTCTTAGGATGTCAGACCCAGCATGATTTTTCTGATTAGTTATACCGGTATGATACTGCCGTAGGTCTAGTAACCCGACGCAACTCGTTAAATTAGTGAGATAATAAAGGCTAGATGGGAAATATGCTTATGCACGGGCACTTGTGTACTGCTACAGGCAAAGGATGCTGGGAAACGGGGATCTACTCCAGGTACCGCTCGCATGACACAAATGCTCGTCACGAAATGATACCCTTCAAGTCCCCATAATACCAAACCTTCAACTTTAACTGTGGGAGTTTTTAATAAAAAAGAAATTGGAAACCAAGGGCGGCTCTGGTTGCCACACCAAACCTTGGTTTTGACCCTGATTATAGAGGTTTCCAGCAAGTTTTTATTTTGATCTGGAGTAGCATGTCTGGTTGGCACTGAAGAAACCCAATAATCAAAATGCGATAATCAGCTCGAACCCATGGTATCCAGAATATAGAAAAACCAATATTTCACAAAATCACATTATGGAAAGCTCTCCAAGTACACAGACACTTTGACACCACTACCACCATCGACAACTGGCAATACAAAATAGAAAATAAATAAAAATAAAAAAGTAGATCTCCGGGCCCAGATGCCAATACTCTCTCTTTCTAATATTTTTAATATTTCGTTTGAGTGGATTTTACTAAACTGGTCCTCCCGATTCATGCAGTGTGGTCCTGGAAGAAGTATATTTCTTGGCTTTTATTTGTGTATCAGCCAGACTTGCCCTAATAAAAATTAGGAATTCAAGAAAAAATGAATAAAATAGTAGTAGGTGACTAACTCATACAGGGCTGGTGAGCAGATAGAAATAGGAATAAGTATCATGATAAAGAAGTAAGAACAGATCGCAAATCATATAGTATCACTCGCTTATGCTGGCAGCTTACATATCAAAACCCCCCCCTCCTTCCTACACGTCAATTCCCGAAACCTTCCCGGACCGGAGGGGCTGGGCAACGATTGCAATCTGCATAAGCTTCGCGGGTTTCATCCACCAATCCACCGACCCGCTACCTTTCTGCGCGCTATCCGGCTTTGGCCGCACATCCCCTTCCTTCCCCGATACAGCCTTCTCACCCTGGGAGGTGTCGTTCCCGGTCCACATCCAGACCGCCGTGCGATGCGCCAATCCCACCAAAAAGAGGAGGGCATAGCCGGCGAGAATAATCACGTACACAAGGGATAGGTGCAGAATCCATATGGGGGCCCAGGGGACCCTCACCAACTTCTTCAAGGGACCGGAATTCCCGACCTTCTGCAGTCGGAGCGTGCGGAGTATGAAGGTTAGCTCTTGTACGGGAAATACGATGATGATAAATATTGCGATAAAGCACAGGTACCACCAGCCGCTCTCCCTGCCGGGTGTGGTGTTGACCGTTGGCAGCGTGCGCTTTTCCACTTCGCGGAGGCTGTGGGCGCGCTCATTCCAGTATTCCCAGGTGGGGCGCCTCTCCTGCGGGACAAATTCCTGGTTACCGCCTTCGGGTTTGGGGACTCCTTCCATTCCCCGGCGGACTATGGATTGCGCCCAGGCTCTCAGGGCTGCAAAGCCGCTGCGGAGCGAGGGTATATTTATCAGGAGGATCAGAGTGCCGAAGGCGACGCCGAGGGTTATCCTGATTAGGGCTTTTTCGGGAGACGGCCAATGGAAGTCTTGTATGGCTACGATAGTCTATGGGTTACCAAATTAGTGAGTTTACTGTTGGCTTATAGGAAGGGCGGAGACTTACTGCAGAGAATGTTAAAGGCAGATAGATTGTGGTAACAACAGCAAAAATATTCACCGTATATGCGAGTTGTGTCGAAGTTCTCGCTTCTCGAAGCGCTAGCTCACTCGACAGCTAAAACCATTAGCGCATCTCGTCCCGCGCACCGTCGTCAAGATATGGTGGGACGCCTACACAGTCCTTATGGGTCTTAATCCTGTCGATCCGCACCTGTAAATTCTTTGCCGTTTTCTCTAACTGAGCGCAAAGGTTCTTCACACGCACGCGATTATTCGCGACCTCTTCCCCAAAGCTCTTTTGGTCCCTTTCGGACCACCGAGGCTCGTGCTTCCGTGACTCTCCTGGTGATAACCATTTCACCGCGACGCTACGGCTCTCAGTGCACTTCTCCCGTAGAGCGCCATAGACTTCAAGGAGCCAGGGATAGAATACACTATTCCTATTCATGGTTTTGAAGTAGTTCTCCCCGCAGAGGTCATCTTCTGTGAGTAATGGGTTGAAAATTGTTCGCGATTTTTCCTTGGAACAAACGCTTCATCAGTATATGTATAACTCCGTGGGCACTTTTCTGTCAATAAAACCTACTTTGTCCTCCCCCGTAGCCTTAGTGATAATCTGGATGACGGATTTGGTCTCTGAGAGTACCAGATTGAGAGACTGGAGCACAAGAAACCCTTCAAGACACTTTCTTTGACTCAAAGAGCTACTATCAATGTTCCAGTCTCCCATAGTCCCAGGATCCAAGATGAGTTCTCTGCTTCCAAAGTCGTGAAACAAGTAGCACGTCCAGTACCGGTCGTGCAGGTCGCCGATAATGCGGAACCCGATGGCCGCCTCGGCCATGATCCTGTCTGAAACAACATCGTTGATACTCTGGAACCTTGAACGTCCCCTCGCAAAGTATCTCGACGCGTGAAGCGACTCTACCTTTGGCAGGGATGGGGCCGTGATAAAATTGATGTTGAATTCTGTGATCCAGAGATTGTCTGGCATGATTGTCTTCAAAGATGTGAGGCACTGTAAATGAAATTTGTGGAGGGGTAGGTTGATTGGCATACCTGCTCTAAAAATCTCATCTCTTGGGGATCCATGAGGCGCAGTCGGGAGAGAAATTCACCTGTATGGCAGGCTTCCTGGAAATCTATGCTGGCCATAAGGGCGACTAGATGCTCGATCATGCAGTCCGTCATGACTCTATCTCACACCGTCAGACGTGGTTTCGCTTTACACATAAGGTATGCGAGGGTAGATTGATGGGTGCAGACAATAGCCTTTTTTTATCCGCCCGGCGATCCCTCTGTCCCAAAACAGTCAGTAACTTAATACTACTCCTGTAGAAGATTGTTTCTCATATCATACCTGCTCCCACAACCTCGGTAACACATCACCACCCGAAAAAAAACGGGGTTCTTTACTTCTAAATGGCTGAATCAAGGTGTTTTTATGAGCGCCCCAGTCATAATCCGTCATATCCGCCATATTTTCAATAAAGTTGGACATTCCCTGACCAGTTTCCCAAAAATAACTCCAATTGTTTTCCAAATGCAAAAAGTCTTCTATGAATTTCTTATTCATTTCGAATGGTTTCAACTTGTGCTTCATAAAGAGAGGCTCTCTGAACCAGCACCACTCACCATACGCTATTTCAATTAGACCTAACATAACATCCCTGGAAATTTTAAAAATGCCACTTACAAGGTGGGTCGTTCACTTGACGACGGTCCTCAGCAGTGAGGTCTAAGCTCTTTCCTTTGTTCCCTGACTTTCTTCCTTCCAGACGAACACCCCCACTGATTGCGCCGGGGTTTGTACCAGCGCTCATTAGGCCTTCCTGCGGGGGCTTGGATCCCTGTTCTGAGTCGGCGCTGGTAAGAGGATCCATAATCTTTGGGTCGGAGGCGCTAGTTTGTGGTTAAAACGTCCTAGTTTAGTAGGTGGACTGGTGGTCTTACTTACATTGGAATTTTGAACTGAGGATATAGTAAACCAGTGTGATCCTCACTGAGAAAATATGTAACTAATTCCCAGGGTGTGGAGTAAGGGCAATGGGAGTCCAGGGTAACCGCCCCGCCAGGGAAAAGCCCGATTGAATAAGCTCTTTCCTCGAAAGCTACCCGCAGCGCCTGGCGGCGATCGCTGCCAATCGCAAGTTGGTAGCGCATAAAGGACTCCCAGATGTCTGGTGTCCGTGCCTTGGGAGAGTTACTGGATTTACCGTAGTATCTGAGGGTCTCCACCCAAGCACAAATCGTCTCATTCTTGCCATCCAAGAAGAAATCTTCCACTAGCGATGGAATAACGATATCGTAACTCCATTGGTTCGGAAAGGATTCTCTAATATGTCCTTTGATTTTTGAAACAAAATGTTCAGGAGAAGGGTTTTGACTCGCGTCAATGCCATGGCTGCGGAAAGCCTCTATCGTGCGATCTCTAATTGCCTTGTCGTCTAAGCTTTGGTGAGCCATCCATTCACTCCAGCTTGGGCCGTTGGAAACAAGGTTGAGCAGCCTTTTCACCGACCTAACGGCCCGCCAAACAGTCACTTGCGTCGTGATAACATAGACATAGGTGCCCTGTCCACCATAGCCACCATTTGCAGGATCTTGCCGGTTCTGGAATCGGGCATAAGGGGGTGGGTATTCCCCCGTGGTCTCTGACAGATCCGGCCATAGCCGAGACCATGGATGCTTACTCAGCTCAATCGGCTCCCAGGCCAGCTTTAGGAAAGCTTCCACCATTCGAGTGAGTAGATCTGCTTCGCCCGGATAGTTGATCAAGCACATACCCAACAAAACAAGGAATTGGCAACAGTTCCTAAACTTGTCTTCGTACTTAGACAGCTCTGGTTCAAAGGGTCTCAGAGGGGGAGGATCGCTGGAAGCTCCAGCCTCCTCCGTTACTTCTCCTACGCCCCCCTCAGTCTCACCCGTTTCCGTGGGTAGCGCAAGCTTCCCAGACCAGTGTAAAATATCAGTCTCGGGGAAGCCGTTTCGTTCGGCAAGTCGTAGCAGCCAAACAAAGTATCCAAAAATTACCTTTTGAATCCTCTTACGGTAATACAACTTTGTTACTTCGTCCGCCGTATCTTGGCGCTGCAGTATCTTATCGATTTCGAGGAGGTAAAGAGTTTGGTTTCTGCACCCTGTTAGGTTTCGCAATCTGATAATATGAGGGTTGGTTTGTGTCAACTCACAAAGAACTACTCCACGTCTGATATGTATTGACTAGATCATGGTCGTGGAGAACGTAAGGCTGATAGTCTTCGCCTTCGACCCAGGGCAGTGGCATAGCATGCGAGAGTATGGTCTCAAGATTTCGTCTGAAAACGAAAGACGAGGATTCAGTCTTGAAACTCCACCACCTGTCATCGAATAACTTTAACTCAGGAGATATATCGAAATACCCGGGCAGGGTACTGGGAGCGTTTTTGTGATCTAACTTGAACACGGAGGTAAATTTCACGCTTGCGTTCGATTTCAATTTGAAAGTCTCACGATATCTTATCGGATCGTCTGAAAGAATGTCAAGGCTACATTCGATCATGTCTCCCTGTTCGCCATCCCCTAAGAGGCTGAGCGGCTTCGGTTTACCGTCTTCGAATAAGCTCGCCGTAGCGTAATAATTGCCGCCCCGGATCTTCCAGTGCGACCCCAGGACTTCCCCTTCTGGCACTCGCTGCAGAAAATGCACGGGAAAATCCTCCTCCCGGACCTTTAGTTGGTTCACATCCCCGCGAGCTATCCTGATTCCAGTAGTAAACTCAAATTCCAGATTGAGTTCGGTTTCCTTGTCAGATTCTGAGGTCAAACGCATATCTTGAATAATCTCGTCATTACGGATGTAGTATTGGAGGACAACCTTGACTTTCCCCTCAACGGTGTAGTGTACCTCCGGCCATCTATCGTTCCTATAGTAGTGCTCAAGGTCAGAGAGGTTGGTGCTATCTGAGAACCGAAGACCAAGCCCCTGATTCTGCATGCAAAGTGCGTTAAATTTATCGTGTCTTCGTGGATACGCAGGGTAGTTGCTAAAGCAGAATGCATTGGGCTTCCACTCCTGATTATCCTGCTCCCAGCGCGGGGTTCTCCTGTTGTTTTCTGAAACCCCCCCCATTCCTTCCTCATCTTCCTCCTCCGGTTCTTGTTCGTGGGATGACTGCGCTGGCGCGATATGTTCGAGTCGGAAGATACTTCGCGGCTCCACCGAGATATAATTCCAGCTATCAGGGTCACCTCCACCCACCACTAACCTACTAAACTGCAAAAATTGGCCCCATTTATTGAGCGCAGCATTTGTACCACCTTCAGCGAAATCGAGATATCGAAATGATTTCTCCTTAGCATCCAGTTTTGAGAGCCCGATAAACTGTTTTGGCGATCCCAGTGGCTCATCTTCAGATTGAGCTTTGGCACTTATGTTAATAGAGACCTCAAATCAATCACGACCAGAGTGGCTTGCCTGGAGCTTCCTGAGCTGGGGGGACTAGCGGGGGGGCCATCATGAATTTTCGCGAAATGTTTCTCTACCTGAATGAGCAGTATCCGACCAAGAGGAATTAGGGTGCGAATACCGATAACAAAAGGACAAAATTGTCACGCAAAGGATTTTCCAGGGAACCATTCCTCATATATATATATGATACCGTGCCATCCGGCAAGATTGGCCTGCCGCATGCAATTGTTTGAGCTTCTACGGCACTTCATATCTGGTGAGGTGTATTTAGAAGCACAGATATAATTTACCATCCACCCAGCCGGCGAAAAGGCCTTGCAGGAGGCTTGCCTCGCAAGCGAGGTGGAGGTATCTAGATATGGCATGCAGCGGCAAGGGCACCGCTGAATCGATCCGCAACCTGTCTTCTGTCCTGGTATCATACTTGCACTTAGTCTGGAAAAACAAAAGGAAGGACAATGGGAAATTCTGATCTTCCGATCGCTAACCATCCGGTCGATGCACAAGTGTGCTCGAGTCCTAGGGGGCAGCGGTAAGTCAGGCGCTACCCAGAAGCGGTAGCCGATACACTCGTACAAGTACGGTAGGTGCAAGTGTGGTGTAGCCGCAAGCTTCCTTTCCGCTACTTTCCTGACCCCGCTTTTCGCCTTCCTAATCGGGAAGGTGGTTAGGGGCCAGAACACCAGACACCCCCTCACGATCTTTCCCTCGCCTAACTTTCTTGGGGCTTCATATGGCTTGGGTACTCAACTTTCATCGTTTGGGTAACGCAAAACACGTCCTTTCGCGCTGGGGATTCGTTCCCGGCCAGACTGGACTCTAAAACTCCTCCTTCCTCCCTCCTGGGTTGGCATCTCGCCTTTGCGCCCTGTGAGGTTTCGAAATTCCCACCTGCTTGGTCCTTTCCCCCGAGTAGGGATGCACAATACGGGTCGACACTATGGCTGCGGGGTCGGTATTGCACTGTCTCAGGTCTCGATTGGTCGGTTGGCTCGGATGCACTCAGAGGGGGGGCCGGCACGCCCTGGTTGGACCCCCCGACGCTACGATTACATTTAAAGGCTCCCTGTGTACGCCTTCCTGCTTTTCAATGGCAGGGCCGGGAGAAGACGCAGGACGATGTCATGTCAAGGAGGTTTCTTTTGTTTGGGTTTCCTTTGTATTTCCTTTCTCAAGAGAATACGGTGTGGGTTTTCTTGTCGCTTCCTGCCGGTGCTTTGGGGGTTGTGGCTCTGCGGTTATGGGGCGGGGCTGTGGTTTTCTTGGTGTAGGATGTGCGGTTGGTCCCATACCAGAGGGACTTGGGGCGACTTGTTTTTCCCTAGGCCTGCGGAGGAGGTTTTTGACCGGCATGCCTATTTCGGCGAAAACGGGGGTGTGGGGCGGTTATTACAGAGGTGCCCTGGTGGAAGGATCCATGTTTTAGCCGGGTTGCACCTTTAAAGCGGAGGTTTGCACCTATTTAAGCAAATAAATTCTAGGATTTAACAAAAAAAGTGTGGTGTAGCCGACAGGGATATGTGGAGAGGCTGGTACTCGAGTACTTGTGCTGCACGAGTACAAAAGTGGGTCCTTAGCTGTGCTGATCCATACGGGGGAGAGTATGCTGACGATAGCAAACACTATGCCTACCAACACTGCACTATTATTTAAACCACAAAAAAATGGAGAGAGAAAAGGCAAGAAATGTTTATGGGCACTGAGGAATTGCATTATCCAAGAGCGTCGGCCGAACCCAGAAAACCTGGGAGGCTCAGACACTTGTATGATACTACCGGGCCACATTTACCCGTATACCATTGAACCGGTAATCTTTCACAGTCGGGCGGGGGTTGTGAAAGAGCTATCGCCTTGTGGATCGATCGAGACCCATCAAAAGCTATAATACCGGATACTATCGTCCCTGACAAAAAAGTCTTTGGGTTTTGAACGAATCAGGATGGTGTTCTAGCAATGGTCCCTCGGTGGAGGGCGTATAAGAGACGTAAAAGTGCTCGAGTACTAGCACTATACTGTACGGTACTGGTAGAGAGCACCTTCAATACTATATTTTTTATAGCCCCGTGGAGAATATTCCAAAAGAGGCACCAACTCTTCACCCGGAGACACAAGTGGACAAGCGAGAATCGATGGGTGAGAGGGAGCTTTCATAGCTGCAGTGATCTTAGAAAAATTGGGCTATTTCTAATCTAGGATTACACCTCGTACCGTATCTATTATTCTCTGTACGGGTATGGTGCTGTTCTTGGGATACTAGCCTTGGTTGCCTCCTGTTTATTGGTGTATCTGAACGATGTGGTCTGGGTGGGGGTTGAGTATTGAATCTGGACCATCACTTTTCCAATTTTTATGACCCCTTCGAGTACTGGGGTTGCTGGATTGAAGTCTCACCTCCGGGTGGCCTGGGGGCATTGGTGGACTCAAACCTTAATCAACAAAGTAGAGGTATTCAAGATTTGGAGGCCACCTACAATAGCCAATCCAGCATCAACCTGTTCCTAAAAGCTATCCCCCAAACCACTAAATTAAATCCCTTCTACACGAACACTCCAGCCCTTTCGTCTTCAGCATATGATATCATAATATATATCATTTTTCACGCACATCAAACCACACGCCCGTGCCCCCCATCCCGAATCATAACCTTTTTGGCAACCTCCCCGGCACCTGCCCCAAACTGAGGATCCCACGAGTATTCAGCCCTGCTGTGCTACTCAATTACCTCTCAGCGCTAGTTTCATTGGTCCGGATGCGTGAACCGCTGTATTGCACAGTGTGTTCTGCGATGCGGCTCCCGGCGAGCATTCTTCCCCACATCCTGCGACATGCGCTTGAGGAACCGCAGCGGAAGGAGCAGGTTGGCGGCGATCAATTGAGGATCATGGGAATCACTGGGGATTTGGCGAGAGTACGAGTAGTGTGACTGTGATACTGCATTGCTAATTTTATGAATAAATCCCTTTAAAACTACAGGGTGATAATTGAAATTGGGAGTATTACTAAAAATTGGAACATTTTTTTGATCATCCCTCATTAGCATATTGTAGAAACCCAATCATCGGCCGATGTGCTATGTGGTCGAAAATTCCCTACTCTGGAAAAGTGATGGAAATTACACTAAAAGATGAGCTGCTGAGCCCCATTGTAAGTCAAAAAAACAGAGAAGCAACGGATCTTACTCAGGTATGGACGGAGGTGAAAAGACGAACAGGGGTCTTGAGTTCAGGCGCTGAATACCATTGGTGATAATAAAAAAACATTTAATCTGGCAGGCATGATGCCAGAAAGGGTGAAGAATATTGAACCATGAACCTCTGTCCGTCTCATCACTGATGTCCATATGGATACCAGAGGAGGTAGTTTCAACGGCATAGAATTTGGGCCGATTGTTGGGCTTTCACGGTAGAGAATAGCCGCGGTACGGCGTTCTATTAGCCATATCTCCCGTTCTATCGAATTTATGTTTGCCGTAGTTTCTCAAACATGTGATGATGTTTTGGGAGTAAGGCTTTTATTGATGAGGGATGCTGCTTACTGTTTGGTATTGTGCTGTCATGCGATTGCGGTGGGCCTGGAGCGGTGGGTGTTGACATCATCACGTTTCGGGGATGACTTCACTAGTTGGGTTTGGTAATGCCTTAGACCGGGATGGAAAACATAATATATTATACTTACAGTACCTAAAAGAGAAATAGAACGGCAATGGGTGGGTAACTTAGCTTAGATGGCCGGTCAGCTAACCAGCCAGACTGTGTGTAGCAAAACCTCGTATAACAGACTGTGTCACTCACCGCCTACCCTCAGGGTACCAACATAAGTCATTGTAATATAGTCTCTACTATCCTCAGTTTGTCTTTGCCCTTCGCATCGGGCAGGGCAGTACGCGCAGAATACTGAAAACCCCCTTTTAAATGTCTCCCCAGCACGTGGGGCCCAGAGATTGTATTAGCACTGAGCGCGCTAGCACTGGAGTCGTAGTGCTGTGGGCCTTGCGTATCATTCAATATCAGGAAGGTGGAGGAGGAATATTTTTGGATTTGAGATGTTGCCGGCACCACATCTCATGCTGCTCAACACATATTGGCAGTCTACCAATTCGCTACTAGAAATTGACTAGAAACACCCCATCCCCGAAGTTGGCAAGCACCACAGTCACACACACACGCACTTATCCAAATACCAATCCAGACCAAAGTTCCCCCCAGCTCTTTGTCACACCATCTTAGTCTCTTACTTGGCTCGCAGCAATATCAAACAGGACTGTGGCACCCCCTATTTCGAGACTTGTATCATATGAAGAAGATGTTCGAGACCTTCAGAATAACCATGGCATCTCCTATCCCTATACCAGTACTCCAGCCCAGAGTGAAAAGAGCTCCTGCAAGACACCCGATAACCGCAGCTTACCATACACAACTCCGAGCCTTGGTATAGAAGTTAGAAATATCACAGCTGTGAAAAGCTTACCGCCTCGGAACTGGGTAAAGGATTTGGCATATACTAGAAGTATGTCGGAGGAGCGGTGGCACATAAAGAGGGCTGTGTTTCTTTTCTGTATATGAGTTTTTCTAAGCAAGCAAGTTGTTGATTTCCACATCTCTCTACTCAGTGGCTAGTTTTCCTATCTTTCTAAATTTGTCTCATTCTACTGCATTCCTTTTCTGAAAAGCTTTTGTCTGTCTCTTAAGAAGAATTATTTTATTGCCCACCGATTATTGACTCAGAGTGTCCATATCGCTACCCATAAACCCTTCTAAAATAAAGAAATATTACCTCTGGCACTAGCATCAGAAGTCTCGGTGGAGCCCGTTCGTTATAGCAGTTTACTCGCGCGGCCGGTTTGAAGCCGGACACCTAAGGTGTCAACTCCCATACAAAATGTCCGGCTTCAATTCGGCCGTGCGAGTACGATAGTTAATTAGGATTGGCACTGATAGCGGCTATTCCTACCCTAGGTAGTGATCTAGGGTTGGATGAAAGGGAATTGTTAAAAAAAATGAAAATGGTTAAGGTCTTAAATGCTACCGCCCTTTTTTTTTTTTCAAAACAATCTCTTCAGATGCCACAGTACCCCCAAGCGCCACATTAGATCCACTGTAGTATATGATATAAGGTTTGGTGGGGTTAAATTTCGAGTTTTCTTCCCCGAGATGGCCACAACATGTCTAGAATTTTAGGGATACAAGGCAGAAAATTTCAGGGCTCTCAGGTTGTGTATGACATGCTTTGTATAATATTGCACTAGGATTCTGGGTGGGGGCAGAGTATGGGAGAAATTTCTGATAGGATCCACGGGCACGCTACACAACCTGATTGGGATGTGAATATTGCTGGCTTTAGATACGGCACTTGCATCGGTAGGGCCTGAGTATATATTAGAGGAACAGTATCCCGTGTGGGGACATATTGACTTCTACTACTTTATTTTGTCTTGTACGAGGTACTACTCATTGCTCTTCCATATTCGTGGTAATTTCCATAGCTCTTTAGGCCGTGGGTAAATTGTATAGTATCATGGTCAGGAATAAAATCGTGATTACGGCCTAATATTATATAACTCATCTTTTGTGGTATTGGGAGTACCGTGGCATTTAAGGAATTTTCCCGAAAACTAGTTGCCCATGAGAGAGTAACTATTGGAAGAAAAAAAGGCTGTCAATTATTATACCGGTACTGTACAGTACAGCAAGTGGATAATGAATCATATTGTATCACTTGTTGGCACTTTCTGAGAGTTAACATGGTGACAATGGCATTAAAAAATAAAATAAAATAAAATACGCTTGACGAGATAAGATCATTACGGGAGAGTAGAGGTAGGGGTCCCCGCAGCAGCCCCCTGGTTTTCCTCATCAAACGCCTTATTTTCTTTATCCCTAGACCGGAGTGCCTCTGCAACGATCAGGAGCTGCATAGTCCTCGCTGGTCTCCCCAGCCAGCGAACCAGCCATCCATCTTTCTGCGCAGTACCCGACTTAGACTTCGGGGTTGCCTTCTTACTCCCGGCGATGTACTTTCCGGTCCACAACCAGACCGCTGCGCGACGTACCAATCCCGCTAATGAGTGGATGGTATGCCCAGCAAGCATAGCCACGTACACAAGCGACAGTTCCAGAATCCAGATGGGGGCCCAAGGGACCCTCACTAACTTCTTCAAGGGACCAGAATTCTCGACCCGCCCCAGGCGGAGCGTGAGGATCGTGAAGGTTAGCTCTTGCACGGGAAACACGATGGCAATGAATATGGCCATAAAGTATATGTACCACCAGGCGCTCTCACTGCCAGGAGTGGCATTGATCGTTTGCGCCGTGCGCTTTTCCGCTTCGCGGAGGTTGTGGGCGCGCTCATTCCAGTATGACCAGGCCGGGCGCTTTTTCCGGTGGCTAGGTTCCGTGGGACCACCTTCGGAGTCAGGGGCTCTTTCCATTCCCCGGCGCACTAAGCATTTGGCCCAGGTTTTAAGGGCCGCAAGGCTACGGCGGAGCAAGGAGATATTCATCAGGAGGATTAAGGTGCCGAAGGCGACGCCGAGGGTGATTCTGATCAGAGCTTTTGTGGGAGATGGCTTCTGGAAGTCTTGTATGGCGACAATAGTCTATAGATACGAAATCAGTACGCCAGCCGTTAGCTTAGGGGAAGGGCAAAGACGTACGGCAGAGAATGTTAAGGGCAAGTAAATTGTTGTAACGACGGCAAAAATATTCACCGTATATGCGAGTTGTGTCGAAGTTCTCGCTTCTCGGAGCGCTAACTCACTAGACAGCTAATCTCCTCATCAGCACACGTCTTCTCGCACAACACCGTAAAGACATGGTGGAATGCTTACGGATTCCTTTAGGGTCTTAATCCTGTCTATCCGTTCCTGCAAGTTCTTGGCCATCTTCTCCAGCTTGGTGCAGGAGGCCTTCACCTCCATTCGGTTATTCGCAACATCTCCCCCGAAGCTCTGCTGGTCCTTCTCCGACCACCGAGGCTTGTACTTGCGTGTCTTTTCCGCCGATATCCATTGATCCGCAGCGTTACTGCTCTCGTTACACTTATCCCGTAGAACCCCGTAAACCTCAAGTAGCCAGGGATAGAATACACTATTCTTGTTCATGGCTTTGAAATAGTTCTCCCCACTGAGGTCATCTTCCGTGAGTAGTGGATTAAAGAGTGTTTGCGATGATTCCTTTGAACAAGCACCCAATCAGCGTATTCACAGCACCGTTAGGCTTTCTCCTATCAATAAACCTACCTTGTTACCCCCCATAGATTTAGTGATAGTCTGGAGGACAGCCTTGGTCTCCATTAAGACCAGATCGAGAGCCTGTAGAACAAGAAACCCCTCAAGACACTTTCTTTGACTAGAAGAGGAACCATAGTCGCTCAGAAGTACTTTATTACCAGCTTTCGAAGTGAGTTCTTTGCTTCCGAAATCGTAAAACACATAGCACGTCCAGTACCGGTCGTGTAGGTCGCCGATAATGCGGAACCCCATGCCAGCCTCGGCCATCATCAAGTTTGAAACAGGGTCGTTGATACTCTGGAACTTTGCACGTTTCTTGGCAAAGTAGTTTGACGGGTGGGGCGATTCCACATCAGCCAGGGGGGGTGGTGCTGTGATGAAATTGATGTTGAATTCTGTAATCCAGAGATTATCTGGCATGATTGTCTTCAAAGATGTGAGGCAGTGTGGTGGAAATTTGTGGAGAGAGCAGGCCAATTGACATACCTGTTCTGAAAATCTCATCTCGTGAGGGTCCATGAGGCGTATCCGGGAGATAAATTCACCTATATGGCCGGCTTCTTGAAAATCTACACTGACCATTAGGGCGATTAGATGCTGGATCATGCAGTCCTTCATGACTCTACCTCACACTGTCAGCCGAAGCTCCTGTTTGCACTTAAGGTATGCGAGGGTAGATAGATGGATACAAACAATATCCTTTTTTTATCCTCCCGGTGATCCCTCTGTTCCAAAACTGTCAATAATTGGACATCATTACCGCAGGGAGATTGTTTCTCATACCTGTTTCTGCAACTTCAGCAATGCCTTACGACCCGAAAACGAAATGGGCTTTTTGCTTCTAAATGGCTGAATCAGGGTGTTTCTCTGACTGCCCCAGTCATAATCCGTCAAATCTGCCATATTTTCCATAAAGTTGGTTTTTCCCTGACTAGTTTCCCAAAAATAACTCCACTTGATCTCCGGTCTCAAAAAGCTTTCTATGAATCCCCCATTCATTTCAAACGACTCAAACTTGTGCCCCATGAAGAGAGGCTCTCTGAACCAGTACCACTCGCCATACGCTATCCCGGTCAGAACGAACATAACATCTTTGGAACAATTGAGAGCCGCTTACAAGGTGGGTCGTTCACTTGACTACGATCCTCAGCAGTGATGTCGAAGCTTTTCCCCTTCTTTCCCGACTTTCTTCTATCCCGACGAACACCCGCAACGAGGCTTCTGCCAGGACCAATACCGGCGCTCATTGGGCCTTCCTGTAGGATAGATCCCCGGGCCCGGTAGGCACGGGTAGGGTTAACCCTTTTAATCGGACGCATTAAGTCAGTTCGTGGTTAAAACTCCCGGAATTATTTATCACTAGGACTAGAGGGCTATCTTACATTGGAATTCTGAACTGAGGATATAGTAATTCAGTATGATCCGCACTGAGAAGGTATGTAACTATTGCCCAAGATGTGGTGTAAGGACAATGGGAATCGAGGGTAACTGCGTCATTAGAAAAAAGCCCGACTGAATAAGCTCTCGCCTCCAAACCCTCCCGCAACTCCTGACGACGATCTCTGTCAATCGTAAGCTGGTAACGCATAAAGTAATCCCAGGTGTTTGGTGTTTGTGCCTTAATAGAGTCGCTGAATTCATCGTAGTATCTGAGTGTCTCTGCCCAAGCGTACAATGGCTCATTCCTGTGGTCGAAGAAGAAATCTTCTACAAATGAGGGAATTGTGATATAGCAACTCCATTGGTCCAGAAAGGATTCCCTAACATGTCCTTTGATTTTTGAAAAAAAGCGGTCTGGAAAACAGTCTCGGCTCATGTCAATGCCGGGGGGGCGGAAAGCCTCTATTGTCCGATCTCTGATTTCCTTGTCGTCTAAACTTTGGCGAGCCATCCAGTCACCCCAACTCCGGTCGTTTGAAACTAATTTAAGTAGCGTTTTCGTAGACTTAATTGCTCGCCACACGAGCACTTGCGTCGTGATAACATAGACATAGATTCCCTGTCCACGATATCTATAACCTTCCCGATTCGTCCAGTTTAGGAATCGGGCATACGGCGGTGGGGATTCCCCCGAGCTCTCTAAGTGATCTGGCCATAGCTGAGACCATGGATGCCTGCTCATCTCAATTGGCTCCCACGCTAGCTTTAGGAAAGCGTTCACCATTCGAGTGAACAGAGGCACTTCATCCGGATAGTTTGTAAAGCACATACCCAACAAAACAAGGAATTGGCAGCAATTCCGGAACTTGTCTTCGTATTTAGACAACTCGGGTTCGGATGGCCGCGCATTAAGAGGACTGACGGGCTCCTCGAGGTTCGATGTACTTGGTTTGGCTGGCATTGAGGGTCCCTCAGCTTCAGCTTCCTGGGATCCTTTCGCGAACCCCTTCAGGGCTCCCTTCCCTTTCTCCTTCTTTGCCTCCCCTTTGCCCTCCCCAGTCTCATACTCTTTTGTGGGTAGCACACGCTTCCCAGACCAATGTAAGATATCAGTCTCCGAAAACCCGTTTCGTTCGGCATGTCGTAGTAGCCAAACAAAGTACCCAAAAATTACCTCCCGAATCCTCTTTCGGTAATGCGACTTCGTTTTATCGTCTGCTGTACCCGGGTGTTGCAGTATCTTATCAATTTCGAGGAGGTAAAGAGTCTGGTTTCTGGATCCTGATTAGCCTTTGCAAACAAATTAATCAGACGGTGCATTAGACAGCTTACAGCGAACTACTCCATGTCTGTAACCTATTAATCAGGTCGTGATCGTGCAGAACATAAGGCTGATAGTGTTCGCCTTCTATCGGCGGTAGTGGCATTGCATGTGAGAGTATAGTCTCAAGATTTCGTCTGAAAATAAACGACGAAGATTCAGTCTTGAAACTCCACCACCGGCCATCGAATAATTCTAAATGAGGAGATATATCGAAATATTGAGGTGGGGTATTAGGAATTCTTCTGTGATCTAATTTGAATACGGAGGTAAATTTTACGCTTGCCTTCGATTTCAATACCAAAGTCTCGCCGTGTCTTATTGGATCATGCGAAAGAATGCCAATGGGACATCCGGCAGTGTTCCCCTGTTCGCCGCCCCCGAGGAGACTAAACGGCTTCGGTTCACCATCTTTGAATAATCTTGCTGTCGCATAATAATTACCGCGCCTGATCATCCAGTGGGGCCCCGGAGCTTCTCCTTCTAGCACTCTGTGCACAAAACGGTCAAGAGAATCCTCCTCCCCGCTCTCTAGCCGGCTCATGTTCTCAGGAGCTATCCGGATTCCAGTGGTAAACTCAAATTCCAGATTGAGCTCGGTTACCTCGCCAGATTCTGAAGTCAAAGACATATCCTGAATGATCTCGCCATCCCGGATGTAATAATGTAGGACGACCTTGACCTTTTCCTCCACGGTGTAGTGTACCTCCGGCCATCTGTCGTTCCTATAGTAGTGTTCAGGATCCGAGATCTTGGTATCATTTGAGAATCTTAGGCCGAATCCCTGATTCCCTATGCAAAGTGCATTGAATTCATCGTGTCTTCCTAGATACGCAGGGTATTCGTTGCAGTAGTATATACTGGGATTCCACTCAGGGTTATCGCGCTCCCAGCCCAGCACTCTCCTCCCACGTTCTAAATCCTCCTCCTCCTCCTCTTCCTGCTGTCCGTGATCGTAAGGTGCCTGCTCTTGTGCGATATGCTCGAGCCGGAATATATTACGCGGCTCCAGTGAGATATAATTCCAGCTGTTAGGGTCATTGCTCCCCACAACTAACCTGCTTAACTGCAAAAATTGGCCCCATTTGTTGAGCGCGGCGTTTGTGCCACCTTCGGCGAAATCGAGATATCGAAATGATTCCTCCTTAGCATCCAGTTTTGAGAGCCCTATGAACTGTTTTTGTGACCCCCTTTGTTCACCCTGAGGCCGAGCTCCTGTACGGATGTTAATAGGGACCCCAAATCAGTTGTGACTAGAGTGACTTACCTGGAGCCGTCCGTGTTGTGGGAGAGTCTAGCTGGGATTCCATGATGAGTTTTCACAAAATGTCCCTCCACCCGAGTGAGTAGTATCTGACCAGGGACGGTGAGGGGTGGATGCCGGTGGTGAAACAACGAAAATTTCGCACTCGGGTTTTTGCGGGGTACCATTCCCCAATTATATACAGGGTCATCTGGCAAGATTCGCCTGCCTCATCCAATTGTTTGAGCTTCTACGGCACTTTGTATATGGTAATAAGTATTTGGAAATAAAGATAGTTACTCAACCACTCCCCAGTGAAAAAAGAGAATGTCTCAGTTTCAGATACGCTTGGCTACCCGCATGCCAGGTGTGACAAGGTCTTTGAGGCCTTGCAAGAAGATTATGTCTTACAAGTGAGGTGGAGGTAATATATGGTGCGATGACAAGTGTACAGTACAACTATATAGATTTGGCAGCCTGTTGTCTGCCCTAGTACTCATACTTAGTCTGGCGAAAAATGTGGGGAGGTGGGAAATTCTGGTATGGTTACTTCCGATCATTAGCCATTCGGTCGATGCACGAGTGTATTCGTGCGCAGTCCAGCAGAGGTTGCGGAAACCCTTCCCGGTATCTGGTGAGAACCGTCAAGGGCTACTGTACGGTATGATACTCATCCGCGGAAACTATGTTGTTGGGTTTTGGATGAATTTAAATTTAGGATGGTGTACCAATAATGGTTATTTGGTGGAGGGCATTCAAGTAGCGTTAAGGCAGAAGCGAAAATGGTAGCACTGTGCTATACGGTACGGGAGCTTAGAAAAACAGGAATGGAAAAAGCTCCTTCTCTCTTAAGGCCCTGTTTGACAGGTCACAAAATTGTGAGACTGCGATTCTTTTCGCCAACGGACAGGGTGGAGAGTAAGACAAAGTAAATTTCTGAAATATCCTCTACCGGTATGTGGCATAAGTTAGAAATATAATACGGTAGTTACAACCGACATTACCGCCTTTCACTGGGTTCTTTATCATTCACCCATGACATGGACAAGCGAGGCATGTCAAATATGATAAGACTAACTAGTCCGGTAGGGGTTACAAGAGATAGTACAGACTGGAGATAGGGCAGGTGGAAATATTGAACCAACAGAATAAGATTCACTGACATGAGCGATTGCATAAAAATTCCACCCTGATGATGTCGCCGAACACTAATTTTTCTGGGAAAAACGCCATCCATCTTTTCGAGATATCATATATCCCATATTCAGCTTTTATTGCGGTACTTCTAAATTAGCACCTGCTTAACAGGGCCTAATGAAAAAAAAAAGTAGAGCAGCATCCCTGTATCCTGGATCCCGCAGAACCGGATATGGTGCACTGCAGTTGGGGTCTACTAGTACTGTACTCGAGTACTCGTGATTGTACTCGTACACCTGGCTCCATGCAACGCTTAACACCCAACCCTCTGAGGAAATAGCGGATGGTGCTCAACCCCACAAAGTATACATTTTTCTTTGAGGATCTTACGATATGCTCAACTCCGCAGAGCAGACTTGTTTATTTGGGGAGGCATAAGAGCAGATCAGAGGAGTTATGTCGTATCGGTAGAGGTGCATGTGTTGCGGGATCCCAAACTAGTCTACCAGGTTCCGTAAATTACAGGGAATCGTTTTTATTGGGGGAAAATTGAAATTAAGTGCCGCAAGAGAAGCCTGATACCGTTAAGTTCAAAAATATATAAATAATATAGAAAATGAAGGAAATTGAATGCAGGATCTTCCAAATCTACATTTTTCCAGGTTGAACCCTATTTCCTGAGAGGATTGAGAGTTACCTGTTACATGGAGCCGGGTGCACACTCTAGCGGCAGTGCACTATACCCCGCGACCTGTTCTGTACAAGTTTCCTATAAAATCTTGGACACCTTTGAATGATTTCAACTGCTGAACCGTAGCAGGGCGGCTGCAGCCTAGTGCTAAAATTTAGGGAATTTTAGACACTAGCCTTATAGAAAGGTAGCCTGTTGAACCTATTGTTATGGACACCAGCAGTAGTAACAATGCGGGGAACGAAGATCGTGGTACATGTAAGGGGTGGACAACTAAAAATGTCGATACTATCTATGATAATAATTAAAATAAAGCTTCTCATAAGAATGATGATAAACTTGCAAACACAGGCACTCATACACACTCTCCGTTGTTCCGGATACTCCCCTGTCCCGGGTGAAACCCAACCATCTGGGATAGCCGGGTGAGGCTGGACTTGAGGCGAAACCGCCGGGTCAAAAAGCAATTCCTAGTACTCGAGTACCCGTATGAATCCCTGTACTACCGTATCGTTGCTAGATTGAAATCTTACCTCCCTGGCACATCGCCAATAAAAAAAAAGCGATTCCAATACGGCGACCTGAACACATTGGTGGACCCAAACCTCCATCACAAAATTAAGGTATTCAAGACATAGGAGCCTGGCCCAATTCCTGGCATTGACTTACTTCCCAAAACCCATCCCTAAAACCACCAAATTTAATCCCTTCCATCATATACCAACACTCAGGCTCTACTCCCATATTCAACATATCACAATATACGAGTATATTTCGCGCACATCAAAATACACGCCGGTGCTCGTCCATCTCAAACTAGAACCTCTTTAGCACTTCGGCACCGGGGCTAAGCTGAGAACCCCACAGGTACGAAGCCCTACTGTATTACTCTATAACCCGCTAATGTTCTAGGTATTATACGTGTACTACTGTAATGCGCGGTGTCTCCCACAGTGCCACTCCCGGTGAGCTTTCTTCCCGCATTATCTTGCATATGCACTGTGTGGGATAGCCCCATCCCGCCACATGAGCGCTAGGACCTGTAGTGGAAGGAGCGGGTTGGTGGGGATCAATTGAGGATAACACGGGAATCATTGGGAATTTAGCGAGAGCACGAGTAGTGTGACTATGATGCTTTTTTTTTCCCTAATTCCATGAATAAATCTCTTTAAAACAACAGGGTGATATTTAAAATTGGGAGTATTACCAAAAATGGGGACATGCTTTAGTAATGACACCTCACTGGCAAACCGCAGAAACACCAATGATCGGCCGATCTGCTATGCAGTCGAAGGTTCCCTGCTCTGGGGAGGGGGCGGGAGTCGCGCTAGGAGGTGAGCTGCTGAGCCGCATTGTAAGACATAAAAAAGCAGAGAAGCAACAGCCCCTGGCCCCTACTCGGGTATGGGCGGAGGGGATGAGACGAACACTAACTTAGTCCTAAGACCAGGCCTTGGATACAAGTACTTGTACAATCGGGGATAAAAAATAATAATTTAATTTGGTAAGGATGATGCCAGAAAGGGCAAAAAGCATTGACACCCTGAGCCCTGTCCCTCTTATCACTAACGTCCCTATGAGCACGGTACGATACCAGGGGAGATATCATAGCTCCAACGACATAGAATTTGGGCCGATTGTTGGGGTTTCTACGGTCCGGCGTTCGATTTGCCGTATCTCCAGTCCTTTTTTAGTTTATTTTTTTGCCGCAGTTTCTTAAATAAGAGGTGACGGGGGTTTGAGGATAGGGATTTTTATCGATGAGGAATGCTACCTACTGTTCGTATTGTGCTATCCTGGGATTTTGGTGAGCTTGGGGCTTGGGTGTTGACACATGGTATCAAGTTTCCGGGATGATTTCACTGGTTGGGTATGGTAAAACCGTAGGCCGGGATGGAAAATATAATATACTTAGAATACCCAAGAGAGAAACAGAATGGCAATGGGTGACTGACTTAACTCAGATGGCCAGTCAGCTAACCAGCCAGACTCTATGTAGCAAAAACTCGTACTGAAGACTGGGCCACTCAGGGCCTCCCTTCAGGGTGCAAACATAAGTCATTGCTAGTGTACCACAATACAGTCTCTACTATGCTCAGTTTGCCTTTGCCCATTGTACGTTCAGATACTAAAAAAACCCCTTGAGATGTATCTCCAGCACGTGGGACTTAGAGATTGTATTGATGCTGAGTGAGCCGGCAGTGGAGGGGTAGGCGTGCGGGCGTTCCTTACCATACAACACCACGAAGGTTGGGAGAACAGTACCTCTCCCGCCGGCTCTGGAAGCCCCGCCGGCTGGACTCAGCCGGTTACCGCAGTTCATCCCACTAGGGCCGGCAGCGGCAGCGGCCACCCCTACCCTCAGCAACGATCTGGAGCCGGGTGAGAGAATTTTTAAAAAGAAAAACTGTTAAGGTCTCAAATGCCAACGGTTCCTCTGTTTTCTTTTGTTCTGCTTCCTTCCAAACAATTTCCTCCGGTGCCACCGCGCGCCCAAGCGCCACACCGGGTTCGCTGCAACATATAAAATTCCATAGGATTAAATTTTAGGTTTTCTCCTTAGACATGGGCACAACATGCCTGCTATTTGAGAAATACAAAGTTGAAAATTGTGGGCGCTTTTTAGCTTTGTACACCCTGTTTTGCGGCATAACGGGGACAGGGTGGGGGCAGAATCTAAGTAGGCCCCACTTCGAACCAGATACATGGGCATTCTACAAAAAAAAAAAAAATTTGATAGGGATACGAAGATTGCCGGCTTCAGACACAGCACTCGTAACCCGTGGATCCAGGTATATATCAGGCAAATAGTATCCCGTGTGGGCATGTATTCACTCCCGGCTGCTTTATTTTGCCCTGCACTACCTATTGCTCCTCCATCTTCGTAGTAATTTCCTTCAAAGTCTCTGATGTGGGTCAATTTCATAGTATGGTATGATACAGTATAGTCAAAAATAAGAACTTAATTGTGATCTAATAATACATAACCCACATTCTGGGGTACCTGGAGGGGCTTCTCCGAAAACTAGTGGCATTTGACAACTTAACTGTCACGTTCCTCCTTTTTTTTTAGGGGAGGAAGGGAAAAAAATATGAATAAATAAGGGATCATATGGGATCACTCGCTGACGATGGACATCGTGACAGGGACACCCACCCGTCAAAAAAAAAGGAGTACGCGGGATGAGAATTTTTTTTTTTCCCTGCAACAGTGCATGGAATCTCGTCTCTAGATGCGCTGACCAGTCGACAAAAATGGGCCTTAGGCGTCCCCCGGGCCATCCATCCATCGATCACGGCTCATGTTTGCTTTCTTCCATGGATGTTTCCCCATCACATTTGTCAACACCCCCTCCCCCCTGGTAACAGAAGAAACAAAACATTCTATGTGATCCCTAAACAAAAGAGATGCTTCACAAGGTCTGCTGCTTTCCTCCGCCTTTGACCTCAATGTCATACCCTCGTTCTGCCTTCATTCCCGTACCCTTGATGCTTTCCTTTGACTAAATATGCTCCTATCCGCCCATCAAGGGAAAACCCGTTTCAAACATCCGCGCTTTCGTGGAACAAAAGTAAACGAATAACCATGGTATGCCGAGCAGCATTTCCAACAAGATGGAGCTCCGGCCTACAGAGAAGGTATGCGGGGGTATATAAGTGGGTACGAGTACAAACATTATCCCTTCTCTTATCCACTTGACGATCCCTCGATCCCCGAACGGCCAGTATCCCGATATCCCTAGTACAGGGAGGTTGTTTTTTATACAGGTCCTTGCAACATGGGTAACGCGCCGCTCCCCTGAAAGAACCTAAACTCTCCATCCCCATCTGGTTGATTCAGGGCATTCTTAGAACCGCTCCAGTCATAACACCACATATCTACCATGTTTTCCACAAAGCCGGCATTCCCCTGACAAGTCCCCCCAAAACACTTCCATTTACCACCCGACCCCAAAAACGTTCCTACGGTTTCCCCATTCATTTCGAACTTCTTTGGTTTTTGCTTCGTAAAGAGAGGATTTCTGAATCAGTACCACTCGCCCTATACTGTCTCGATCAGAATAGGTATACCACCTCAGAGCATTTTAAACCGACCCATGACACAAAGTGGATTGCTTACTTGGCTAGGGCCCTCACGAGCGATTTCGACACCCTTCCCTTCCTTTCCCGGCTATCTTCCACCTTCAAGAGTGCCTGCGCGGTGCCGGCGTTTATTGGGCCTACCTGCGAGAAGATGGCTCTCCTTTTCCGGCTAATACTAGTAGAGCCATCAATAATCCTTCATTTGGAAACTTTAATTCATGGTAAAACCCCTCCGAGCCGTTTGTCACATAAACTGGCGGCCTAGGTTACATTGGAATCCGGACTGGGGACGCAGGAATTTGGGAAAGGCCAGACTCAATAAGCTCTCGCCTCGGGGCTTTCCTGCAACACTTGACACCGGCAAGTCAAGTAAATTAGACATCGAGTACAAAAAAAATCAAGGGTGCCCCTAGTTACCACAACAAAACCTCCGTAATGACCCTAGTAATGAAGTTTGAGAACTTTTTAAACTCAGCAAGGCTGTGCGCTGTGATGGGTCAGCCTCCCAGTACATATGTGGGCCTACAAGAGTATGAAAAAAAAATGAAAAAATGCTTGCCGAAGGTCTCCCTTGAGCGGAGAACCATATCTTGCCGTTACCTACCGTACCTCAAACGAACGGCACGATGCCGAGGCTATGTCTGGTGGTCTGGGTAAGAGCGAGTATGTGAAAACCACGGACATGTGTTGGAACCAGACATTGATACAATTCAAAATTGGCATAATCATATATGTACGTATCTACCCAGGGAAGTGTGTACAACTACCATTTAGAAGAAAATTACATTTCCCGTTAATATATAGTTTAGATGGTAGGAGCCTTTTTCAATATGGTGCATAAAGAAGGGTATAGTATCATAACTGTACTTTGCTTGCCAATTTTCCCTAGTCTACCGTGCAAGACACTGTGGCTGTGTCCGTCCATCCCCCGCGACTGAAGCCCACCAAGCATATCCATCATAAACCCATGACCCTCTCACTTGAGGCGGAAAATATGACTCCGGCCAGTATCGAGGCTTTTGAAATTCCGGACACATCTTGTCATAATCGGCTTCCATATCTAGTGTACTCTTTCTCACGATATCCGGGCCATTTTGAAGGCCCTGCGTGGCAACTAGATAGTGTCCGATCCCGATCAGACAAGCGTACAGTGCAGTACCAAATGGAAACGAAAGCACAGCGCACCTGTGATACCTTGGGCACTTTCTTAGGCGGGACATTTCCCGGAGCCGAGTTGAAATACTGCGGAAGACGGCCGGGGCATAGATGCTAACCGGATCCACAGACAAACGCTGATGATTGATGAATGAGGAAGCGGATCTTCTTCGTTTTTTCTAAGACCTACCACCTACTGTTCAATCGCTTGGGATTTAACGTAACCGGGGCTTGCATTAACCAGTATCAAATCTTTTCCCCCGTTTTTTCACTCAACTCCCACAATTTATTTACTTGGAGTGTCTGGTGTCACACACCTCTTAAATAGTAGTATTGAAAATGGCAATTCGAGTGATTTTTCACGTAAACACCACTGTGCCAAAGCAACTCCTCTAGCGAGGGTCGGCCCTATATGATTGGCTGTTTTTCTCTAGTATAGCACTATGACCGTTATTCTACATTTTCAATGGTTCCCATCTATAGATGAATGAGTGTATATATGGGGTTAGTGAGTAGACAGTATAAGAAGAGAAATTTGGGAGAAAAAGAAAAAAAGAAACCTCAATAAGTAAATCATAGATCATACGGTATCACTCGCTTCCGCCTTGACGTGTCCCGGGGAACAAAATGTGCACTCAAAGAGAAAAAACGTGGCGGCACAACTACGGAAAAATCAATCACTCGTCGCCCAGCGTCCCCGAAAAATAGAGCCAACCACCTTTTTCTCGAGTAGAGCGAAAAATCTGCGTAGCCTACTGAGCAGTCCCCTGATTTTCTACATCAGTTTTCTCTTTCCCTTTCTCCTTGGACCTGAGCGCCTCAGCAACAATGGAGAGCCGCATAGCCTTCACCGGTTTCTCCAGCCAGCCTACCAGCCTCCCATATCCCCGCGTGCTATCCGACCCGGGGCACGAACTCTTCTCACCCCCCTCCGGCACGACCTCCTCTCTCCCGAGGATGTCGTCCCCGGTCCACAACCAGACACACGCGCGATGCACCAATCCCACCAAAAAGAGGAGGGCATAGCCGGCGAGAATAATCACGTACACAAGAGCCAATTGCAGAATCCATATGGGGGCCCAGGGAACCCTCACCAACTTCTTCAAGGGCCCAGCACCCCTGATCTTCTCCGGCTGGAACGTGCGGATTATAAAGGCCAGCTCTTGTACAGGAAACATGATGACAATGAATATCGCCATCAAGCGTATGCACCGCCAGCCACTCGCAATATCAGGAGTGACATCGGTCATCGGGATCGTGCGCTTTTCCACTTCGTCGGGGTTGTGAGTGCTTTCCCGGTGGCCAGATTCCGTGCGGTGGACTAAGCGCTGGGCCCAGGTTTCCAGGGCAGCAAGGCCGCGGCGGAACAGGAAGATACCTACCAGCAGGATTAAGGTGACAAGGGCCACGGCGAGGGTAATTCTGATCAGAGCTTTTGTGGGAGATGGCTTCTGGAAGTCTTGTATGGCGACAATAGTCTGTAGATACCGAATTAGTATGCCTACGGTTGGCTTATAGGAAGGGCAAAGACGTACGGCAGAGAATGTTAAGGGCAAGTATATTGTTGTAACGACGGCAAAAATATTCACTGTAGATGCGAGTTGTGTCGAGCGCCTCGCTTCTCGGAGCGCTAACTCACTCGATAGCTAATCTGGTCATTAGCACAAGTCTTCCCGCACAACACCGTGAAGACATGGTGGGACACCTACAACTTTCTTGAGGTGCTTAATCTCGTCTATCTGATCCTGCAAGTTCTTGGCCATCTTCTCTAGCTCGGTACAACGGGCCTTCACCTCCATTCGGTTCTTCGCAACATCTTCCCCGAAGCTCTTTTGGTCCTTCTCCGACCACCGAGGCTTGTACTTTCGTGTCTTTTCCGCCAATATCCATTGATCCGCAGCGTTACTGCTCGCCTTGCATTTATCCCGTAGAATCCTATAAATACCAAGTAGCCAGGGGTAGAATACACTATTCTTATTCAGGGTTTCGAAATTGCTGCCCCCACCGTGGCCATCTTCCGTGAGTAATGTATTGAAGAATGTTTGCGATGATTCCTTTGAACAAACACCTAATCAGCATATGCACAGCACCGTTAGGCCTTCTCCTATCAATAAACTTACCTCGTTACCCCCCATAGATTTAGTAATAATCTGGAGGATAGCTTTGGTCTCTGAGAGTACCAGATCCAGGGCCTGGCGTACAAGGAATCCCTCAAGACACTTTCTTTGACTCGAAGAGGAACCATAGTCGCTCCCACCCACCTCCTCCCTAGCTTCCGAAATGAGTTCCTGGCTTCCGAAGTCGTAAAACACATAGCATGTCCAGCACCGGTCGTGCAGGTCACCAATAACGCGGAACCCCATGGCCGCTTCAGCCGTGATCCGGTTTGAAACAACGTCGTTGATACTCTGGAACTTTGCACGTTTCTTCGCAAAGTAGTTTAACGGGTGGGGTGACTCTACTTTAGCGAGATATGGGGCTGTGATGAAATTTATATTGAACTCTGTAATCCAGAGATTGTCTGGCATGATTGTCTTCAATGATATGAGGCACTACTGTGGAAATTTATGGAGGGGATGGCTAATTTACATACCTGTTCTGCAAATCTCATCTCGTGAGGATCCATGAGGCGAAGCCGGGAGAGAAATTCACCTATATGGCCGGCTTCTTGAAAACCTATGCTGGCCATCAGGGTGATTAGGTGCTGGATCTTGCAGTCCTCCATGACCCTATATGACGCTATTAGGTGATGCCCCGGCTTGCATATGAAAGGCAGGAGAAGGTAGATATATTGGTACAAACAATATCCTTTTTTTATCCTCTTGGGGATCCCTCTGTTCCTAAACCATCAGTAACTCGATATCACTACTGAAGGGGGGGTGATTTGTTCTCATACCTTTTCCTGCAACTTGAGCAATGCCTCATTCCCCTGAAAGAAACCAAAATCTCCATCTCGGCGTGGTTTGACCAAGGTGTTTTTATTTCCCCAGTCATAGTTCGGCGTATCCACCATATTTTTTAAAAATTTGTCTTTTCCTCCACTAGTTTCCCAAAAATAACGCCATTTATCTCCCGGTTCCAGAAACATTTCTATGCATCCCTTATTCATTTCGAACTTCTCCGCCTTGTACTTCATAAAGAGAGGCTCTCTGAACCAGTACCAGTCGCCATACGCTGTTTCGATCAGAACAAATATAACATCCCTAGGGGACCTCAAAACTACTTACACGGTGGATCGTTCACCTGACTACGGTCCTCGGCGCTGATGTCGAAGCCCTTCCCCTTCCCTGGCTTTCCTCCATCCTGACGAGCGCCAACACTAATTGTTGTACCAGGGTTAATACCGGCACTCGTTACGCCTTCCTGCGGGAGCATGGGTCCCTGTGCGCAGCTGGCACGGGCATTGTAATTCATATTTCTTTAGTTGGAAACATTAGTTCGTGGTTAAAACCCCGTAATCGTTCGTCACGTAGATAGACGGCCTAACTTACATTGGAATCCTAAACTTAGGATATAGCAATTCAGTATGATCCCCACTGAGGAAATATGTGACCATTGCCCAAGATGTAGAGCAAGGACAATGACAACTATGGGTAACTGCGCCACCAGGAAAAAGCCCGACCGCATACGCCCTCGCCTCAAAATTCTCCCGTAACGCCTCACGGCGGTCCTTGTCAATCGTAAACTGGTAGCGCATGAAATGTTCCCAGGTGTTCGACACTTGTGTCCCGGCACGGTCGCTGAAAGTATCATAGTACCTGAGCGTCTCTGCCCAAGCAAGCATCAGCCCATTCTTCTTGTCGAAGAAGAAATCCTCCACAAATGAGGGAATGGCGATATCGCAACTCCATTGATCCAGAAAGGATTCCTTAACATGTCCTTTAATTTTTGAAAAAAAGCGGTCCGGAAAACAGTCTGGACTCGTGTCAATGGCGGGGGGGCGGAAAGCCTCTATTGTCCGATCTCTAATTTTCTTGTCGTCTAAACTTTGGCGAATCATCCAGTTACTCCAACTTTGGTGGTTGGAAACTAACTTAAGTAGCTTATTCGTGGACTTAATGGCCCGCCACACAAGCACTTGCGTCGTGATGACATAGACATAGATACCTTGTCCACCATATCCACAACCCTCCAGATTCGTCCGGTCTATGAATCGCGCATACGGCGGTGGGTATCCACTCGGGCTCTCTAAGTGATCTGGCCATAGTTGAGATCCTCGGTGCCTGCTCATCTCAATTGGCTCCCACGCTAGCTTTAGGAAAGCTTTCACCATTCGAGTGAACAGAGATACTTCATCCGGATAGTTGATCAAGCACATATCCAGCAAAATAAGGAATTGACAGCAATTCCGGAACTTGTCCTCATATTTAGACAACTCGGGTTCAGATGGGCGCGCATTAGAGGGATCGACTGGCTCCTCGGTATATGAATCATCTGGGTTTGATGCACTTGCTTCGGCTGGAGTTGCAGTTTCCTCAGCTTCAGGTTCCTGGGATTTCCTCGCGAATCCTTTCAAGGTTTCCTTCCCTTCCTCCTCCTTTGGGTCCCCTTTTCCCCCTGCGGGCTCATACTCTTTCGTGGGTAGCAGACGCTTCCCAGACCAATGTAAAATATCAGTCTCCGAAAACCCGTTCAATTCGGCATGTCGTAGTAGCCAAACAAAGTACCCAAAAATTACCTCCCGAATCCTCTCTCGGTAATGCGACTTCGTTTCTTCGTCTGCCGTACCCGGGTGTTGCAGTATCTTATCAATCTCGAGGAGGTAAAGAGTCTGGTTTCTGGATCTGATAAGCTTTTGCAAACAAATTAATCAGACGAGTGCTTTAGGCAGCTTACAGAGAACTACTCCATGTCTGTAAAGTATTAATCAGATCGTGATCGTGTAGAACATAAGGCTGATAGTCTTCGCCTTCCACCGGCGGCAGTGGCATTGCATGTGAGAGTATAGTCTCAAGATTCCGTCTGAAAATAAACGACGAGGATTCAGTCCTGAAACTCCACCACCGGCCATCAAATAATTCTAAGCGAGATATATCGAAATAGTGTGGCAGGGTAACGGGAACGCTTTCATGATCTAACTTGAATACGAAGGTAAATTTCGCGCTTGCCTTCGATTTCAATACGAAAGTCTCGCGATGACTTAGTGGCTCGTCCGAAAGAATGCCAATGCGACATTCGGCCTTGTTTTCCTGTTCACCGTCCACCAGGAGGCTAAACGACTTCGGTTCACCATCTTTAAATAAGCTTGCCGTCGCGTAATAATCGCCGCGTCGGATCTTCCAGTGGGACCCCGGGGCTTCTCCCTCTGACACCCGCTGCAGAAAATGGTCGGGAACATCCACGTTCCCCTCCTTTGGTTGGCTCATGTTCCCGGGAGTTATCCGGATTCCAGTGGTGAAGTCAAATTCCAGATTAAGCTCGGTTTCCTCGTCAGATTCTGAAGTCAAGAACATATCCTGAATGATCTCGCCATCCCGGATGTAATACTGTAGGACGACTGTGATGTTCTCCTCAACGGTGTAGCGTACCTCCGGCCATCTATCATTCCTATAGTAGTGTTCAGGATCCGAGATCTTGGTATTATTTGAGAATCTGAGGCCGAGTCCCTGGTTCCGTATGCAAAGTGCATTGAATTCATCGTGTCTTCCTGGATGCGCAAGGTAGCCGCTGCAGCAGTATACACCGGGCTTCCACTTTGGGTTGTCGTGTTCCGAGCCCAGCGATCCCCTCCCACGCCCTGAATCCTCCTCCTCCCCCTTCTGCTTGTGATCGTGGGATTCCGGCACTGGTGCGATATGCTCGAGCCCAAGGATATTTCGCGGCTCCAGCGATATATAATTCCAGTTGCTGGTGTCACCGCGACCCACAACCAACCTACTTAACTGCAAAAATTGGCCCCATTTGTTGAGCGCGGCATTCGTTCCACCTTCTGCGAAATCGAGATATCGAAACGATTTCTCCTTGCTAGTGTCTAGTTTTGAGCGCCCAATGAACTGTTTTTGTGTCTCCTGCTGTTCACCCTGAGACCGAACTTCTGTACGGATGTTAATAGGGACCCCAAATCAGTTGTGACTAGAGTGACCTACCCGGAGCCGTCCACCTTGTGGGAGAGCCTAGCGTGGGGAGTTCCATGACGAGTTTTCAAAAAATGACCCTCCACCCAAGCGAGTAGTATCTGACCATGGGTAATTGGAGTGTAAATACTCGAGTACCGATAATAAAACAACAAAAATTTCACACTAAGGCTTTTGCGGGGTACCGTTCCCCTATTATATATATCGCGTCATCCGGCAATATTCTCCTGTCTCATCTAGTTGTTTGAGCTTCCAGGGCACTTTGTGTCTGGAAATAGGCACCTGGAAATACAGATAATTACCCAATCGAGACCTCAACGAATAAGAAAATGTCTCAGTTTGAGATACTTTTAGCTACCGGCAAGACAGGTGTGAAAAGACAGGTGTGAACAGTCTTTGGGGCCTTGCACGAAATTTGTGTCTCACAAGTGGAGGTAATATAGAGTTCGACAAGTGTACCACTACCTGCATATAGATTTGGCAGCTTGTTGTCTGTCTTAGTGCTTGTCCTTGGTTTGGCCAACAAAAAGTAAGACCATGGGAAATTCTGGTTGTTTCTTCCAATCATTAGCCACTCGGTCGATGCACGGGTGTATTCGTGCGCAGTCAGGCAGTGGTTACGGAAAGCCCTTCACGTTGTCTAGCGAGAACCGTCAGGGGCTATGGTACGGTACGATCCTCATCCCCGAGAACTATGTTTTTGGGTCTTGGATGAATTCAGGATGGTGTACAGCACCACTGATGGCTGTTTTGTAGATGTCATTCAAGTAGTGTTAGGGCGGAAGCATAAGCGGTTCGTACTGTACTGTAGAGGATGGGAGCTTAGAAAAACGGGAATGGAAAACGCTCTCTTCCTCCCAAGACCCTGTTTGACAAGCCACAAAGATCGTGAGAGTGCAATCCTTTTCCCCACTGGGTAGGGTAAAGAGCAAGACAAAGTAACGTTCTGAAATATATGTAATACAAGGTTGGAATAGTTACAACTGACATCGCCGTCTTTCAGTAAAAGTTTCTGTCAATCACCCATAGTATAGGCAAGCGTGACATGACAAAATATGATAGGATTGAGTAGGGGTTGTAAGAGGCAGCGCAGGCGAGATATCAGGCAGGTGGAAAATATTGAACTAACCAGACAAGATCCTCACCGACGTGAGAGGTTGCAAAAATATTACATTTTCAGCTTCTACCGCTGCACTTCTAAATTGGCACTGTACTGTACCTGCCGAACAGGGCTAACAAAAAAGAGTACTGTACCAGGTACAGTAGCTCCCCAATATCCTAGATCGCACAGAGCCAGATACCCCGTTGACATGTACCGTACTGTATCATATATCATAAAATCTTTAACGCCTCTGAACGATCTCACCCGCCAAGTTAACCGGAGCAGAGAGTTGCCGATTGGTACGAGATTTTAGGGAATTTTAGACACTCCCCTTATACTCATAGAAGGGTAGCCCGCTAAACTTAATCTTATCGCCACCCTCCGAAGGCCTAGTCCAAAGAGGAGAAAAAGGTAGGGAATAGGGACCGTAGGGAAGGGAAGGGAAAAAGAAATAGAGAAGGGCGGGCTCATGGTTGACTTAGGCCCCAGATGCAGAGTAAATCGCTCCTAACTTCTAACAGTAGTAGGGATGCGGCGGACGGGGAACACGCTACCCGTACTAGATGGACAACTAAGAGTGATAATTAAGATAAAGCTTCTCATTAGAATGGGGATAAATCTGCGAACTCTCTCTCTCTCCCCGTTGTCCCGGATACTTCGTTGTCCCAGGTGAAACCCGGCCCTCCTGGATAGCCGGGTGCCTGTAGGCTGTGATACTGTGGTTGCTAGATTGAAATCCTCACCTCCCCGGCACATCACCAATAAAAAAAAAGCTATCATACCCCAACCCGACGATCTGAGTAAATCGGAGGACCCAAACCTCCATCACAAGTTTAAGGCATTCAAGACTTATGATACCGGTAGAAGCCTGGCCCAATCCCTAGCATCAACTCACTCCCCAAACACCCATCCCTAAAACCGCCAAATTAAATACCTTCTATCCTATCCTAACACTTTACTCCCCCCGCTTATTAGAGTACCCTACCAAATCGTTCCGTACGACATGAGTTTTTACACCAAATCATAGAAGCATGAATAAAAAATGGTGAGATTGAGTCAATGGCTCACAATGGTATCAAGTCGAAAAGTGACTTAATATTTTGTATGGGGGTCAATAGAAAAAGGTACATGGCAACCACATACCATGCACTTGCCTCCTGTTATCTTCACAATTTTATAGGTTTTGAGGGTGGTAAAAATGCATGGTTTTAGTGTAAAAGGGGCATCGTACGGAACGAACTGACCTAATACTGTACTTGTATTTGGGACAGGATCTTTCGGAATGGCGGGCCGCATGGGCACATGTGCTAGGATATGAGCAATGCACCGGCAAACACCAAAAAAAATACCAAGCGACCGGAAAGCAATAATTACAGTCCTCCCTCGAAACTGAGGACCTGTTGCTAGTTTTCAATCCCACATACATAATACACGCCGGTGCTCGGCCATCTCAAAGCATAAATTTAACCTCTTCAGCAGCCCCTTCGACACCTCGGCTAAACTGAGAATCCCACAAGTATAAAGCACTATTGTATCACTCTATCACTCGCTAATATTCTAGGTACTTGTACTGTACCACTGTACTCGAGTATTACACGATGTCTCCTATAGTGCCACTCCCTCTGAGCTTTCTTCCCCGCATTATTCTTGCAGATGCACTGTGTGGGGTAGTCCCATCCCAGGACATTGCACGCGGAAAAGCGCAGCGAGAGGAGCGGGTTGGTGGGGGTTAATTGGGGATTACAGGAATCATTAGGGGACCCCGGAGAGCACCCGGGTATCGTAGTACGATAGCTGTACTAGCATTCCACTGTCTAATCTCTTGAATAAGTCTCTGTAAATAACAAGGGCAATATTTAAACTTGGGAGTATTGCTGAAAACCGGGACATGTCTCAGTGATGATACCCCGCTTGCATACCGTACGGTCGAGACCCCAGCATCATAACCGACCCATGTGCTGTGCTGTTGAGCCCCATTGTGAGATATGAAAAAACAAATTGACAGCCCTTATTATACTAGAGGAGGCAACTCCAACGACATAGAATCTGGGCAGATTGTTGGATCCAGAGAAAAAGCGGTGGTCGGGCATTCAATCTGCTATATCTCCAGTTCTTTCTTTCAGCCCCTTATTTTCCTCTATTCCTCCCCCCTATCACCGGTACCGCACCCGCACAGCACAAGTACCACACCGTTTCTGAAAAAAAAAAAACAATAAGCACGGAACTTCTAATACCGTACATTACCGTACACGTAAGTGACACTCTTAGCAAGTTAGCCCGTAAGACTCCTCCCAGATAGTGTCACATCTGGCCCACACGACTGATCTCCCGCATAAGCGACTACGAGTACATGTAGTACGATCCCTGCCATCCCCAGCCTGCATGTGCCTATTTGCAGTGTGGAGTGATTTGCGTGTGGGTTCCAAAGATCTCTTCACAGGTCCCTCCAATATGTTGAGACTAATGGAGGTGGTGGATGTGTACAGTTTGTCGATGGGATTGGAGGTGGAGAGAAGTGTGTTGTTTCTCTATCGAAGATGGCTGGCTATCTAATACATAGGTGGAAGACACCACATGACGGTAAACCCCTTACACTCATCTGTGCACTCACAGCACAATATACATGGATACCTCCACTCATACAGTTCCTGTGCATGTCTCCACTACCTGTGTCATTCTGCTCTGCCATGTCTGTACCGTACTCTCAACACCACAACATGCTGCTATGGGGACATAATACCATCAGAGACTGAGAAGTTGTCTTGGTGCCGAATGCGCTTACAAGTCCTGTACTCGCACAATAGAAGCAAAGTGGTGTGTTCACTGTGCACCACAAGATGTTCAAGAGGGTAAAGGGGGATATTATTACAAGTACTTGTACCTTAGTCTGATTCTAAAGTATTGATGGCTCGGGTTAGTTACCGGTATATATGTTAAGATCGTAAATCATAATATGATATCATCTGATAAGAGTGTGATCTCGAAAAAAAATCTACCGTGACAGCATGTAGGAAAAACTCGTCGCCGAACGTGTCCGACCGATCCGCAAAAATAGAGCTCAACGCCCCCCGGGCTGTGGCTGGGCGTCGGGGGAAAACCAGACCGGCTACGCTT